CAGGACCTCATAGGTGGGTCTGCCAGCACTGCAGCCACTCGCCCGGTGTAGGAGGCCCACGAGATAGCCTTCCAAACTCCCTCAGAAGTGAGGTCCCAACCCTTAGAGCGGACTAGGTCTATCTCTACCAAGTCATACCCTGCTGCTTGGCACTGGGCCTTTAGACGCGGATCTCCTTTCCCACTGCAAAAGCTCAACACCCAAGACGTGGAGCTGTGCAACTTCTTGCGCTGGCGACGATTGAGCGGGAACGCTTGCATCAACTCCCAACCATTCACCCCATCCAGGCCCACCGCCAGTCTGCCGGTGACTCTGGTTGGCAAGGCCTGCAAGAAAGGCAACCTCTCAGCCAAAGCCTGAGCAGCAACCTGGGTCCCGGCCCCAACAAACTCATCGAGAATCGAGTGGAACTCTCGCTCAGTCTGAGCTGCCAAACGCGACTGTATCCGACGAAGCCGACCCTCTAGATCTCCCACATGTGCACCCTCTAACTCACGCACCAGCTGAAGGGCCTGACGTTTGCATATCTGCGGGCATCCGCTGCGAATGCTAGTCTTCAACTTTCCCAACTTGGGGTGAGTCAGCTGAAGACCACCTTTGCGCGTCCATCGAATGCTACAGCCCAACTGCTCGATGAGCGAACCCAGGGGCAAGATCGTCTGGGTTTCTCCGCCTTCATCTTTTCGAGGTGCAACCAGAGACCCTCCAGGGGTCTGCTTCCACATCTGCTTCTGGTCTCCCGCCAGGGACACCATACATGGCGCAAGGTCACCTGTGCTTACAGCCGTCGGGTCGAGCACAGTGTGCGTAGCTCCTGAATCGAGGAGTGCTGTAGGTTCGAGGTCTTCAGTGACCTCATCGGTAGCCACAGCTCGGATGCGAGCTCCGTCCCTCACTCGTGCTTCCAAGTCTTGAAGCTGGGCTTCAATCTTGGCTGCGGTAGCCATAACAGGAGGATCCGCGGCCGCTCGCGCCGCTGCTGAAGGTGACTCTCCGGAAGGAGACGCAGCCTTGCCCGTAGGTCCCGAGGAAGGGTCGGCTTGAGAGTCGGCGTCGCCGGCAGTGCTTCTGAGCGCCTCTTTCAACACGCTGGCCGCCTCCGACAACACCTTCTTTAGTCCTGGATCCCCACTCTTCCTTGGAGCTGCGTCCTTTGGGCTAGCCTTCGGTGCTGAGGCTTCTGAACGGGACTTAGGGGAACCCGAAGGGACGGTGCAACTATCCTTCCTATGACCCTTACCGCCGCACCTCATGCAACGGTCTGCACGCTGGTCTTTTGGGATGGAGTTCCATTCATGAGGAAATGCACAGTCTGCTCCCTTCCTGCATCCCTTGCCCTCGTGAAACCACTTACACAACCTCTTAGGTGCATCAGCTCCTCCAGCGGGGGAGGTTACTGACGGCTTAGGCTGACCAGTCTTGGGCCCTGTGCCTGGATCTGCACCTGTGGCCTGACCTGCCTTGGCATCAACTTGCCTCACCTGGCCTCGGTCCTTGCCTTCCTTGGACGCTTCTGACACTCGCGAAGCACTTTCGAGCTCCGCAAGGATATGCTCAAAGAACTCCTCGACCCTCTCATTGGTCGGCTGGGTATCCAGCTGGAGTGACGCGCGCACCAAGTTGACACGGAAGTTGATGGTGCTCATCGACTTCAGGACGGCGCCGGTTATGGTTTCCAGTGCTTGGATCTGCATCGCTGGGTCCGGCTTCGAACCTCCTAGATCCCCTAGCCTGGTCAGCCAGCGTCTCCAAGTTCGCAACTTCAACACCGCGTCCACCGCCGAGTCCGCCGCCTTTGGTGACTGTACTTGTCGCAAGGCCTCCGTCCTTTCTGAAAGCCCGCCCGGCTTATATATTACGTGAAGCCGGCATAGAACGTGCAACAATCCTGAGATTCGTGCACTGGAAAGTTCTTCTCGAACCGCCTCCGGACACGCCTGGAGGACGAGATGTTCCATGCGATGGCGCACCCTGGACCATCGGGGCTCGGAGTCGACACTCGACGTCGGGAGTCGAAGCCGCAGCCTTTGAACTGGCGTGGCAGGAACAAAGGCGGATCCATACCACTTCTGCGCCTCTGCAAGCACAGTCTCCCAACACACGGAGGACGTGTCGGAAAGATCCGACATGCTGGGTCTGACGGAGTGCACCCAATCCGAAAATTGCAGCGCTGCTTCTGGGGTAGCGCTCGGGAGCTTGGCGATCTCCGTTACACCAGGGCGCACCACTTCCGGTGGCGCCGGAACTCCTCCTGACCCTGTTCCCGTAGGTTTCGCTGCTAAAGTAGCCATCAAACCTTGGAGTTGGACTATACCGCTCATCATGGCGTCGTAGGGAGTCTGAGGTGTTACGGTAGGCACATGTGTTGAAGGCTGACCTATCCCAGAAAACACCCCCGCACTCGCATCCAACTGAGGGCCACTGTTGCCTGGCATTACCCCGGCTGTTGGTGGACCTCCAGCCTGACCTGAGCCTTGCGGTACGCCTGTGGGCGCCTGTCCTGGAGCCTGTCCTTGGCCGGTCAGCAGACCTGTTGGCACCTGACCTGAGGCTAAACCTGCGCTTTGCACACCTGCGGGCATCTGACCTGCAGCCTGACCTTGCACTTGCGGCATACCTGCAGGCACCTGACCTGCAGCCTGACCTTGAAGTTGTGGCACGCCTGCGGGCACCTGACCTGCGGCCTGACCTTGAAGTGGCAGATCTGCGGGCACCTGACCTGCAGCCTGACCTTGGAGTTGTGGCACGCCTGCGGGCACCTGACCTGCAGCCTGACCTTGGAGTTGTGGCACGCCTGCGGGCACCTGACCTGCGGCCTGACCTTGGAGTTGTGGCACGCCTGCGGGCACCTGACCTGCGGCCTGACCTTGAAGTGGCACACCTGCGGGCACCTGACCTGCGGCCTGACCTTGAAGTGGCACACCTGCGGGCACCTGACCTGCAGCCTGACCTTGGAGTTGCAGCACGCCTGCGGGCACCTGACCTGCGGCCTGACCTTGGAGTTGTGGCACGCCTGCGGGCACCTGACCTGCGGCCTTACCTTGAAGTGGCACACCTGCGGGCACCTGACCTGCGGCCTGACCTTGAAGTGGCACACCTGCGGGCACCTGACCTGCAGCCTGACCTTGGAGTTGCAGCACGCCTGCGGGCACCTGACCTGCGGCCTGACCTTGGAGTTGTGGCACGCCTGCGGGCACCTGACCTGCGGCCTGACCTTGAAGTGGCACACCTGCGGGCACCTGACCTGCGGCCTGACCTTGAAGTGGCACACCTGCGGGCACCTGACCTGCAGCCTGACCTTGGAGTTGCAGCACGCCTGCAGGCACCTGACCTGCGGCCTGACCTTGAGGTGGCACACCTGTCGGCACTTGGTACTGCAGTATCTGGTTAGAAGAACCCCCAGGGTGGCTTCCTGCTACTTGCGACACAGTAGTTACAGCGCTGGCCGTGACAAACGAGGGGTGCGGAGCCTTTGCCGGTACATGAACGAGCCCCATTAGACTCTTACTTATACCTCCTAGCCAACCTCGTACTCCCTGGTCCATCCCTGGTCCCGCAGACGTCTCCCTACGAAGCATCTCATTCTCTCTTTGCAAGGCTACTATCCTACGCTCCATCTCAGACTGTACAACCACAAACTGCTGAAGTTGACGACGGACTTCCAGTTGGATAGCATCCCCGGATCCAGAACTCACTGAATGCGGCAGCTCTGGCGCACTCTGCGCCTGCGCCTCCGGAAATATCAGAGGGGCACCAACGTCTCCAACCTTTCAGCTTGTTCTGCGGAGAATAGGGGCTCCATGGGATCCTGATCAACGGTTGCTTCTCGAAGCAACCCTCCATCTCCTTCAGACGCCGTCGCGAAACCCGTTCCGGTGGTCCTCACTGTAGCCTCTGTGCCTGCTGATCCGGGTCCTCCGCCGGCCATTGATCCGAGCGACCTCACCTCTGAAGACGCTTTCACCACTCCTTGCACTGCTGCAGAGACCCCTGACAACAAGCTTCCGACCCTCTGAGCTCTGGTTCCTTGCTTCGGACGAACGGGAGCCTCCCCATTCAACTGCGCCCCTGGGTGTCTCAAGCCACCGTCTGCTGGCAACTCTTCCATCCCAGGGCCCATTTCCTGAGGCCTACTCACTGTTTCATCATCCAAGTCCAGAAACCCCCGAGGTCTTGCAAACCCATCACCAGGATTCTCAACAACACTGGGCGTAGCGGTAGCGGTGGATTGGGCTCCCATAACCTGTTGATCTTCTTGAAGTTGATTGGTTACCGCTCCGTAGCCAGGCATGTCGCCCTCATTGGGATTGATCCCACCTGAAGCTCCTTCCATAATCCCTCTACGCCTTCTGAACAGCTCCGTAGTGCAGGGTCAGCAAGGCTCAAAGGAATCCCATGGGGAGGCTAACTCAGACGCTCAGATCTTTCACACCACAGCGAACAACGTAAGTATGCAAGCTGTCTTAGCCTTGCTTGGCATGCTGTCTACTCCATAGAACTGGATCACTGCCTACAGCTTGATCCACATGCCCTCAGTTCGTAAAACATCGGAAGAGTGCCCTAGCTGTACACAAATGCCCAAACGCGGACCTCTAGGATTTCACAATTATAATAAGGAACCCCAAAATAGTATTGGTAACTATTTAAGCCCCTGTAGTACACCACCACTAAGCCGACACATATAGTTCCAAAGAGTCCAACAAGTCTGAGCAACCCGACCTTACAAGCTGTAAACTTAACTACTACAGGCTGCCCCCCAAGCCCCACCGAAAAAACGAAATGTCCTGAACACCAACCAATGGCAACCCAAAAAATGTCAAACGCCGGCTCCAGTCATTTAACACAACCCTCAGACCAATCCGACATCGAAAAAACCTGACGATGCCAGGAAATCAAGAGAACTGCATGAACCTTAGACCTAAACCCTAAACCCGATACAACCTCGTATAATGGAAACCCGGATAGTAACCCTTTTAGTAAAAGCTGAAAGGTTTCCCTGCCTGGGGCTTCGCTCCGGGAACGAGGTCTTCGTCCGCGGGGCCAGCGGTGAGGTCGCAGAGCGGGAGAGGTCGACCTATGCAGTGCGTAGCTCCGGTAATAGTAACCAGTATCATCAGCATTATTGGTATTAGAGGGACTATTTCGAACAGTGATCATAATCATGACTATATGGTCTCTATATGAACCCGAACAATAACAATAACGGTGACGATGGTAATCAAGGTAGCAGCAGCAGTAGAAGTCCCGGTAGTAGTAGCAGCAGCAGCAGCAGCAGGAGTGGTAAGAGGAGGAGGAGGAGGAGGAGGAGGAGGAGGAGGAGCAGCAGCAGCAGCAGCAGGAGTAGTAGTAGTAGTAGTAGTAGTAGGAGGAGTAGTAGGAGTAGCAGGAGTAGTAGGAGTAGTAGGAGTAGCAGGAGTAGTAGGAGTAGTAGTAGTAGTAGTTAGTAGTAGTAGTAGTAGTAGTAGTAGTAGTAGTAGTAGTAGTAGTAGTAGTAGTAGTAGTAGTAGTAGTAGTAGTAGTAGTAGTAGTAGTAGTAGTAGTAGTAGTAGTATGTAGTAGTAGTAGTAGTAGTAGTAGTAGTAGTAGTAGTAGTAGTAGTAGTAGTAGTAGTAGTAGTAGTAGTAGTAGTAGTAGTAGTAGTAGTAGTAGTAGTAGTACGGTATGTAGTAGGAGTAGCGGTAGTAGCAGCAGCAGTGGCATTTGCCGTAGCAGTGGCAGTTGCAGCAGCAGCAGCAGCAGCAGCAGCAGCAGTACCAGTAGCGCTAGCAGCGGTAGCAGCAGCATGCATACTTGCTAACCGGAGGCTTGCAGGGGTGTACAGGATGCTGTAAAGTCTGAGATTCTACCATGCTAAGATAGAGAAAGGCAATTCTCAAGACTAGATAAAACCTCAAACCCTATCTTAAACCCTTGACGCAAAATCCTAGACTTTCAAGCCTTCCTTCGAAACACTGAACCCGATCTTTAGAAGCTCAGACCTCCAATGAGCCATGTTGCAAGGATCAAGGGACTTAGCAAGTATGGCTATAATCTACTACAAAAGTCATCACAAGCCTGGATACCCAAATTTTAGCCCGACAAAGCCCTATAAGACTCAAACAGCCCGACTTACGAAGGCCCCTGATGCCTCAAGTGAGGCTGGCTAAGGGCGTTCTAAGCGTTTTGAAAAGGCTTCTGTAGCGCTTGTAGAGGGCTCTAACAGGTTTTAAGGTGTAGGTTGTAGGGTGCACAGTTTAAGGCTTTGAGTCAAAGCGTTCGACTTTTGTTGGTGTTGTTTTTCGCTTATAGGTTTACCCCGGGCTACGACACGAGTGCCATGGCTTACTTGCGTCTACGGTCCTTCCACCGATCCCCGAATCTAGTTAAACCCTAAGCCCTTGAATCTAGACTTGACAGACGCCTTATGCGAGAATGGCCCAAAACCCCAAACCCTCAACTCGAAACCCTAAACCCCTAAACCTCTAAACCCCACCACCCACCCAAACGCGCAAGCCCTTAACCCTGTGCTTGAGCCAGTTTTTTGTTCGTGTTCTTCTTCTTCTTCTTCCGACCCCGATGCTGCAAAGCTTGGGGCGCCTCAGACGCACTTCGCGTGAGGCCGTCCGGGGGCAGCTTCCTGAAGCTGAGTTGGGGTCCAGGGCCAGAACATCGGTTGTGGGTTTCAGGGTTGGGATTTATATACGAATTCGGGTTTAGGGTTTGGGGTTTAGGGTTTCGGATTTCGGGTTTAGGGCTTGGAGTTTAGGGTTGAGGGTTGGTCTTGGGTATAGGATTTGGGGCTCAGGCCTGAGATTCTGGATCCAGGGACTTTGGGCAGGTAATATAAGGGCCTTAATAATTAGAATAGGGTTTTCGGTGGTATCTAGTATAGTTATCAGAAGGAACCCCAAAAAAATTGTGGGAAATTATGTAAGTCCCTATTTTAGAGGTTGCCCGAGCTCAACAGGCCGCGCGGCCAACCACGAAAGGAGGTCTCTCGGCCGCACTGTACACACCGAGGGCCGTTGGCCGGCGGCACGACATAACCTGGGCTTTCGCTGGATTCTTGTTACGGGCTCGAATCCAAGGAACCACAATGGGGATCTATAGTGCAGATATGGTTTCCTTATCATGCTAACCTGGGTTTTTGGTGCTGTGAGGGCTTGCTGAACCCCACACCCTGTACCCGTTTGGGTTGCGGGCTTAGCATCTAGGAGCTCGACGTTGAACACAAGCTGCAGCTACAGCAGGGACTTAGTATACTTACCGTTGGTTAGTAGGGAATGGAGGAATGGGGTACAACTTTAACTACTATGACTACCATTCTTCCATTCCCGACTAACCAAAGGTAAGTATAGGGGCCTTTCATGAGAAGGATCTTGGGGTGTAGTATTCTATACCTGGACCCTAAGGAACCTGCCTGTTCAGGGTTCCCTAATATGATTTCTTTATAGAAGTCCTTAGAAAGGTAGGTTACTTGGAGTTAAGCTAATTATAGCAGAGAAACCTAAGGACTTGGTAATTATTCAGGCTTCGAATTACGATCAATTGCCCTAAGCTTTTGTGTCTCATATGACCCTGCGAGCCTTACGAGTTTTCCCTGGAGGCCGCGAGCTCCGCGGCTTCGCACGAAAGTTAAGAACGCCTGAAAAAGCAAAAACCCGCAATCTGCAGAACCCCAAAGGCTGCATTGCTATCACTGTGACTATTGGTTTTAAAACATTATTCAACTATTCGCTGTTGCTGTTAGACCTGGTACTTCTACAGTCTCAGTATTGTTTCTAAACACACCTTCCCATGCAGGTGAACAGTCAGACCTTTCATATAGATAAGTAGATCGACAACATGTATTCCGACATCTACGCCTTGCACACTACTTGCCAGGCGGCTGCGCTGCTTTCGCCGGTCGAGGGCTCTCCTTCGGGGGACTCTTCAACGGGACCCCAAGCTTGGGTAAGGTCCTACTATGTCCATATTATGAATATTCTCCAAGTGTTACTGAGTGGGGCCAGTACCCAACCCCAAGCGCAGCTGAGCGTAGACTATACGCAATTGGCACGTGCTCATGTACGTCATACATGCACGCAGGTAACGCATACATACATATTCATAAATACATACATGTGTACACACATGCACAGACAATTACTAAATTACACACGTGTATGCATGCATACATACATTCATGCATACATACATACATACATATATACTGCAGGCCACATGCATGCATGGGTGCATGATGCATACTGCACTCATATGTACTAAGGTTCGAATATGTCTTGCACACTGAAGCCCCATGCACAAGATCTGACAGACAAGGCTACGGATGTTTGCAGCGAGTTTGCAACTTGCCTGTCCTTCCACACCCAACGAGTTGGCGATAGGGTTGGGATCTAGAGAAATAGAAGGCCGTTCTAGTGTTTTGCAGCGTTTGAGCCTGCTCCCTGCTTCGACACTCCGGAAGCCTCTGTCTGCCTCCAACAAAGAGGCCTTAATATTTAGGCTGGGGTTTCGAGGGGATATTTAACTATACATTTTGTATGAGGAGCCCGCAACCGCAACTAGTATTGGTAATTATTCAGGCCCCTATCTTCATCATCTAGGGCTACCGAAGATCACGGGCTCGAGGATAACTATAGTTGAGATGGGTACTGGTGACGGTGATGAAGGTTAGGATAGCGACGAGGATGAACCAGCGGATGAAAACTAAGCCTGACACAACTACCCTTGTAACCATCATCGTGATGTTCAGCATCAACCCTATCGTCATCATTACCGTCAGGACCAATGTCATCATCTTCACCATCATGCCTTTTCAGAAACAGTTGCACTCTGGATCCTAATGTCACGGGTGAGCGAGGGTTGTGAAGCATGCGGCTACATCGCTACTCGTAACAGGCGCAACAGCCGCAACAACGGGGAAACCCTCTAATAATTCTGCGCATAACCAACCCGTAATAAGAACCAGAACATCGCACGGCGGAATAGCTACAAGAAGAAGACGAAGAAAACGTACAACCAGCACAAATCCACGAGTGTTGCAGACCTGAACCATGGGCCGAAGATCTTTGGCTTGTGGTTTCTAGACTCTTGTCAAAGGATCATGGGACTTAGTAACTGGGGTTATAAATATGGTAACCATACTTATAAGCACTTATAAGCCCACTTAAGGTACTTATGAGCTGACTTACTAAGTCCCATGATCCTCCAAGTAAACCCTAAACCCTGTGATGGACTGTCCTGAGGTTGGTCTCGAGGTCCACGATCATGCCCTGAGGACAACAGCTCGTGTTTGCAGGATTTACGGGAGCTTCCGAAAATTAGGGAATTAGGGGTATTTCATTTTGGGGTTTGTATATTAAGGATCCTACTATTTTGGGGGTCCTTATACTAAGGGTCCTACTATTTAGGATACTATATCAGGGTCTGCCAGTTTGGACTAGAGAGTTTCCAAGGGGTGCCGGGGCTGTGACTCCTCTTGGGAATCTGTCTTTCTCGCTAAGGATGTGAACTCTATGATTTGGGAGTTTCCGAAACTAGGGGACCCTAAAAGAATGCCCTCAATAGTAGGATCCTTGTTATAAGGACCCAGCGTAACCCCTAATTTCCGGAAACTCCCATTTAGGTGGTTGTCAAAATTAGGGTCCCATTTTGGGTATCCTAAATATTAGGTGCCCTATAATAATAGGAACCCAAAAAGGGACCCCAATTTTGACAACCACCCCTTTATGGTTGAGGAGCTCGGTTTTCACAGAGCCCGGCTCCAGACTGCTCCCCGGCTTCAAGAAGCTGCATGACAGCATGCCCAGAGACTCCAATATCCATTAATTGAGGAATATTCCTTGAGTTATGGTAGGATCCCTTATATGATTTAAGGTCTATTCCTTAATTAAGGGGTATTGGAGTCTCTGGGTGGGTAGCACGGGTGATGCACAGCAGCGACCAGAGGACCAACATGGCACTATTGCGGAATTGTGTTGCTTTGAAGCTGGGGAGCAAATCGAAAAGGTTATTATCCCCAAACCCTAAACCCTAAACACCAAACTCTAAACCTTAAACCTCAAACCCTAACCAAGACCCCAAAAAGATCCTCTTCTTCTGCGCTTTAAGACCGCTACTACAGGGGCCTTTATAATTACCTACACTATCTTGGGGGCTCCTTACTATACTTACAGCATAATTTTAGGTTTTGGGGGGTGCCAACGGAAACCCTGAAACCCTAAAGCCGAAACCCGCAACCCTGAAGCCTACTTGGAGGTTCATGGGTAGTTATAAGTAGGGTTATAAGTAGGGTAACTATACTTATAACCCATATTAGGGGACTTATAACCCTACTTATAACTACCCATGAACCTCCAAGTACACCCTGAACCGTGATAAGGTTTTGTCAGGCTTTGTGGTTTCCTTAGTATAAGAACTATCCGGGGATATTGTTTAACAGTTAATTCCGACCCTATCCTTAATTCACTCAACCCAACACGAAACCTCTACAAACACCAGGCTCCAAACCGCGACACCCCAAATTTCTGGAAACCTCCAAACCCTGAGCCCTACACCCCTAAACCCAAAAGCCCTAAACCCTAAACCCCTAAACCTACAAGCCCTAAACCCTAAACCCCTAAACCTAAAAGCCCTAAACCCCTAAACCCTAAAGCTCCAGACTTCCAAACCCTAAACTAAACCCTAAACGCCTGAAGCCACCTCGAAAAGTCTCCCCCCCCCCCCCCAAAAAAAAAGGCTCCTTCGCTTCAAACCACCTGTAAGGGTTTAGGCTTTGGGGCCCCCAAATTCAACTAACCCCTGCACCCCAAACCTGAAACCCTGAACCCCAGCAGAGGGCATGGCCTTCAGGGCGTGGATGTGCTTGTCCTCGGCGATTTCGCGTTCTAAGACGGCGATGCGCTCGTCCTTGGCCTCCAGAGACAAGGACATTTCTGGCATCCTCGGAGTCTGATATAGGGGCCTTAATAACGGTTGATGATATAAATCCTGCATGACCCAGAATAAGGAATATACCATAATTCCCATAGTGTAGAGTCCTTAAGGTAATGCAGGATTTTTATCATCAACAGTAATCAAACCTAGGAGTATCACTACTCATGCTTCAGACGACCCCTACATCAGCGCAAGGCATTTTGGGCATTAGCCTTGGGTGCTTTGGAATTAACCCCCACAGTAAAATTAAATGTTTTGGAAAAAACCCTACACGAGCCTCGCGATCCTTGGGTATTAGGGTCTAGGGGTCTTTGGAATTTAGAACAAGGATCTTTGGACTCTAGCCGCCTCGGAACTTCGGAAGATTAGGTTTTGCGGCCTCCTCTGGTAGGCTCAAATTTAGGGTTAAGGGTTTGGAGTTTGGGTTTAGGGTTTGGAGTTTAGGGCTTAGGTTAAGATGCTGGCGACTTATAGTTTTTTGGACTCCCATGAATGCTATAATACATCCAGGGCTGTCGGGCGTTGGCCGTCGTTGGGCACACAGCAGCGCGTTTTCATCAGCCCGGTCTGCGTAATAAACGGAATATGTCACGTTAAGCTGGGCATGCTCGGTTAATACCCAGAAGGGAGAAGTACTGTGCCTTCGAACGACTAGCTTGGTCTTGAAGGTCTCAAGTTTGCACCTATCTATCCATCTACCTACCCACCTACCGACCTACCGATCTACCGATCTACCGATCTGCCGATCTACCGATCTATCACCTATTTATCTACCCATACATATGGAGAGATGGCTGGCGAAGGATTGAAATGATTGAAGGTCGACCGACACCTGCAGGCCGACTTGCGCGGCACGAAAACAAAACAGAATCCAGGCTGGAAGGCCAAATTAGACTGGGGTTCAGGTATAGGTTGCGGGTTTAGAGTTTAGGGTGTGGGTTTAGTATTCAGGATTTAGAGCTCTTCGGTGCCCTTCGATGTGGGGTTCAAGCTTATGCGAAAGACCTTACTTCAATAGAATTCGAGGGTGTGACGGATCTAAAAGAGAACCTAATAGAGAACAAACCGCAACAAAAAAGCGAGCCTAATCCACCGGCCTGAATTATTAGAATGGGTTTTCGGGGTTTGACGGTAAACCCCAGCCCTACACCTCTAAACCCTCAACCCTGGACCCTAAACCCCTAAACCCTAAACCCTAAACCCTAAACCCTAAACCTTAAACCCCTAAACCCTAAACCCTACACCTCTAAACCGCCGTATCTAGGGCCTCGTTCTCGAGGTCCCTCAGCCGCAGCAGCATGTCCAGCTCCTTGCAGAGGCTTAGGGTTACGGCGTAAATAGAGTCTTCATGGGAGTGTATATTATGTGTATCAAATATATATATATATATATATATATGTATATATACACACACATACATGCATCTGTCTGTGTGTATGTACATCTGTGTGTACCTCTGTAAGTACATGCTTGTGTGTGTGTGTGTGTGTATGTGTATGTATGTATACATATATATAACATGATGTATGCATGCATAAACCTCAAATTCCCAATCTCCGAACCTCCCAAACAACCGCACATCCTGAACCCTTAACTATATAACCCCCAAAGCGTGACTTTTGATCGGGGTTGAACCCTAAAATCCCTAAACCTCAAAACCTTCTAAACCCCCGAACTCGAAAACCTTAAACTAACACAATAATAAAAAAAAAGCCAAAATCCCGGGGCTTCTGGTGGTAATTCGGATCACGACTGCGGATTAATATAGGGGCCTTAATAATTAGAATACGGGATTTGGGGTATCTTATACGAAAATCCTAAGAAAGAAACCCCACAACCTGAACCCTGAACCCTAAACCAGTATTGCAGGCCCCTATATTAGGAGTCGGAGTTTGGTCCTGCGCACGCTGCAGGCGCAGCTGGTCAGCCAAAGCTGCAAACCTAGGGGTTTAGGGGTATAGGGTTCAGGGAAAAGTGCCCTAAAATCGGAACTCTAGGGATTTGGGCTTAAGGCACCGTACACCCTTAAACCCTGAACTCTGGATTTAGGCTTTAAAGAGCCGTAAACCTTACGAGATTGGAGTTTAGGGTTTAGCGTATAGGCTTGGTTTAGCGCCTTTAGCTGGAAGAGTTGGGGCTTATGATAACCCTAAACCCTAAACCCTAAACCCTAAACCGGCTTATGGTTTTTTTTTTTTAAAGTGTAATGGTTACCTGGCGGCTCCTGCTACTACGAGCGTACACTAGAGTGAAACACTACCGAAGACGAAGTCAAAGAACTGAAAGTCACCCTCCAAATCCGCAGAGAGAAAGTGCAGAAACTAGCCATCGAAGAAGAACAGAAAGTCTCTCCCACCACATCGGCAAATTGACCAGACACAGACTCAACGAGCTGAAAGAGCGGATACCAACAGAGCCCTCAAAGCACCATTGATCACTCACCCACATCATTCTCGTCGTCAGACACCCCATCCTCATCGTCCGTCACATCACCTTCATCTTGAGATACAGGACGAGGACGCGAATCACGTTCAGGTTCATCCGGGGTTGCTCGTGGACGAAGATGGGCAGCCATTGTCGGTCGTGGACGATTGAGGGAAGACAATGAACCATCGTAGACTGTCTCATGTTGTTCAGGTGCAGGGTCACGAGGGTCATGTCCAGCTGGAGGGGCATGTCCAGGATGAGGAGCAACTGCAGGAAGACCATGTCCAACTTCTCCTTCAGCAGCACCACGATCTCCACCAGCCGTAGTCGGTGCTGTGTCTACAGGTCGGTCACTAGCTCGAAGAGGTCCCACATCACGAGGTGCACGGCGGTTTGGGGCACGGCTAGGGTGGTAAGGAGAAGGACGACCATGTGCCCCAGAGCTTGTACCAGTAGAACGACTTGTACCAGCAGGATGGCTGCTGTCTCTCCCAGTGGACTCCTCAAGCTCCTCAAGCATACTCTCTCGTTCACGTAGGCGTTGGGCAACATGTTGACGAAGAGCCTCCACCATCGGCTCATCTGCACTTTCCCCAAGCACGGCCACCCAAATATTGTGCTCCATGTCCCTTGCCATGTTCCAGTCAACCGAACTTTCCCCCGGGGGGCAAGTACGTAGGACTCGTTGTAGTGCTTGTTGTAACCAGAAGTGCACCTCCACGATGTAGTCTTGACGTGCAAGTAGTCGCCGAGCAATTTCCCGAGATGTCCCTGCATTGGGCAAATACATAGCTTCACGTACTGCACGATGGATAGTGTAGGCCCGGCTCGCATGGTTGTTTTCAGCCTCCAAACATGTTTCCATCTGCTGCTCCTCATTGTGCAGGGCGCTCAAATTCAGCGGCCCAAGGATCGCTGGTGGGACAGGTGCTTCACCAGTCACATTGCCCGACGAAGCAGCAGGATGAGCACCAAGAGTCTCTTCTTCTGCAAGTGTTTCCCCCGGCTTATGGTTTGGGGCCCGGGGCTTTCAGAGGGACTAACCCTCATCATCCTCGAACGAGGAATACTAACGAAGCAGCTACGACCACCACGACAAGAAGAATAGCCTAAACCCTAGAAGCAAATGGTTGCCCGGACTGCATCAGAAGGCTGCCACGGACAGGGAGAGTCCTCATAAGCATGTAGAAGGCGACCCTAAACCCGAAACCCTAAAAGCAGAAGTCCAAGAACAGCAACAGCAGTATCAAGAGGGGGCCCTTGCGGACTGCAGACTTCGAACGCTTGGCAGGTTTGGCTCAGGGTAGCACAGGGGCCTGAAGAATTCGAAATGATGTCAAGCTGTAACCCCTTTTCGCAAGACTTTCATACACTCGGAAACCCTTCTTCAAACTATTGAGATCCCTGGGCCCGATAATTTTTTTGACTTCTATACACCCACAACCTTCCCAAGTAGCACCTTTCAGAAAACCTCTCACCCCCTGCAAAAGCCTATAGAACCCCTTCCACGATTAGTTACTCATGATAAGAGTCATGACATAACTGTGATGCAAGCACACACCACACTTTGGATCCTAGGTCCCCCCACTGTCTCGCACTGGCGGCGACCAGTTCGCGTCCTCAGGCGGAGGACTTCGGGTGCTGAGCTGGAGGTGTGGGGTTTAGGGTTTCAAGGGGTGGGTTCAGAGTTTAGGGTTAAGGGTTCAGAGAAAAGGGCTTTGGGTCTTGGGACCGAGGCTTTGGGCTTGATTCTGCAGAGCACGGGGCTTATGATGTTCGCATGTCCACAAGGAGCCACATTAGCGGAACTTTTCGAAATCCGAAGCGAACTCGGCAAACACTCAAACTCAGTTTCAGCCACAACTCCGCAGAAATCCAGGCACCCAAAAGGACTCAGACTCACACAAGAACTCAAACCAATTCAGACAAAACACATTTCATACGAAACACTCAGGTGGCACACACAAAATTCCAATCTTTGACTTTTTTGAAGCTTCATCCCTGTCAACTAGTGGCTCAGGGTGACATTCAGCATGGCTTCGTCTTTTTCACTGCTGAGATCGAGAGAGGAACGACTTCTCTACAACTCAGCCCTTGTAAAGACATGACGGTGGGCTTATTGAGGTGACAAACCGCCCGCACAGTTTAAAGTATAATTATTCAGTGCAGTTTCTGTGGTAATGCATTTCTGAGCTTTGAGTGGCCGTAGCTTCTGAGTTTTAGCAGAAACATAGGACTTTGTTTGAGTTTCGGTGACGTTGACTTGATCGTGTTTGCGCTGCGCGTGTTCTTGTTTTGGCGTTTTGTCTGACTTATGTTTGAGTCTTGATTTTCGGAACAGAACCAATGTTCGACATTGAAGAACCGCCTGCCCGAATCCTAAACCCTGAAACCTAAGCTCACACCCGCCAACGCGGTGATAATTTGCGGCATGGGATCGGACGATGTCGCCCTGCATTTGCTCCTTCACAACGTCCATCCTGAAGGCAACGGCTCTTGGGTTCGAGGTGTAGGGTTTAATGTAGGAGCCTGATTAAGAAACCTTGGGCCGTGTTTAGGGTACCTTTTTTTGAATCCTACTTTTTTGGGGGGGGTTATAGGCCCAGGGTTTCTTGATCAGGTTCCTACATCAGTGTTTCTAGGAAAGGAAGCAGAGCTCCTGACAGTCTTGGGCAAGGTGGAGGAAGGATGAGGCTGAAATTACTACAGCCAGGACTCAATGATGTAAGTCTCCTGGGAATCGCCATACAATGTAAAACCCAGATACACAACCCAAGTTTTCCAAAAATGCTAGAAAAAGAGCCCTAGAACATAAAGCCGATAAAGTGCCCAAGAGTACGAAGAATGGGCTTCTTCCTTATCGCGCAGCTTCACTGAGTAATGTGGGGGCATTAACAATCAGAATGGCGCTTTAGGGTATATGATACTAGCAACATAATAAGGGGCCCCGAAAATGATTTAGGTAACTATTTAGCGACTATAGTATAGATCTCCTAGACAGGTACCTCGCAGTTGCGTCTGTAAAGGGCCGTAAGCAATCGTAAGCGGCTTGGGATTCAGCGCTGGGCACCTTCAAGGCCTGAGGGTTTAGCATTTGGGGCCTAAGGGGGGAGGGCTTCGGTTTAGGGTTTAGGGTTTAGGGTTTAGGGTTTAGGGTTTAGGGAGATCTCCGTTGGTGAGGGGTGGAAGGAGAGGGGGCTTAGGGAGAATTTCGTTGGTGTCGTGTCTTCAGGAACCTGACAGCTCAGGGGTTTGGGGGCTTACAGGGAACTCCAGAAAGTTGGAATATGGCTTCATGGTAGGATACCCTATAATTTACCATAGAAGGGTTAGGATAATCATATTCCAACTTTCTGGCTTTTACCTTAGGACCCTAAACCCTAAACCCTAAACCCTAAACCCCTAAGCTGTGCCCTTAAAGGGCCTCTGGCTCTTAGGGCTTGGGTCGGGGGCCTCGGCGACTGAGGGCTTAGCCAGGGCATGGAGGCGTTGCAAGGGGCGCAATATAGGGGCCTTTATAATTAGAACAAGGCTTTGGGAGCCATTCTACTAGAAGGAACCCCCCCCCAACAAAAAAAAAAAATGCTTTCAGTAACTATTTGGGCCTCTATTTTAAGGTTAGCAGTTAGGGTTCAGGGTTTTCTGGGTTGGACTCCCCAAGTCTTGCGAACCAGCGGCCTAAGTTGATCCATAAAGTCCATGAGAGGCACCATCTGACCTGAGAAGGGTTCAGGGCTTCAGGTTTTGGCTTAGGGTTTAGGGTTTAAGGTTCTGGCTGAGGGTTTATTCATAGGGCTTGATTCAACTTGGACTTGAGGGTTTGGGTAATTTCGTGGACCAACACTTGAATTACGAGATCTCGAAGAATAGGCATTCTGTGGGTTCAGGGTTTGGAGTTTAGGTGGATCCTCCAATACCGTTGAGCTGGCATCTGCGACCTCTCCCGCGAATACACGGGCCTTATAGTTTAGGGTTTTATGGTAGCCATTCGCTCACAGTCTTGGGCTGCATCGTAGTCTCGGTAGAAATATACAGTGAGGTGCTTTGATTGCAAGTTGTCCCGGCCTCTCCATTATGGGAACTAGCTCGTCTTCTAAGCTCTGGTCCCCTTTCGAGTCTTCGGGGGTCCGTCTTGACATAAATCTTACCTTCGGTTAGTAGGGAATGGAGGAATGGGGTACAATTATAACTACTATTACTACCATTCTTCCATTCCCTACTAACCAAAGGTAAGAAATGGCAACTTCACAAGCGCCATAAAAAGAACACGGGTCCTTGTCTACGGTTCGGAAAGCCCTAAAGGATGGACACAAAATTCAATGGGCTTTGAGAATCGGAAAAAAAAGCACATGAGTGCATTGAAGCAGCAACTAAAAGTTGCTGCCACCACCACCGCCGCCGCCACCACTACTTCCCGAACTACGAGACGACTGTGGTCAGCTGTATTTTGAGATGTCACGTCTGGAGGTCTTCGGGGAATCAGTTGGAGCCTGTGACGACGTGCTGCTTGGTTCTTCGGGTTATCCTTGGGCAAAGTGAAAACTTCAAAACTCCTCTCCAAACACCTTACCGATATAGGAGCTTCCGAAAATTGGGCGTACCTTAATTGGGGGTCCTTAACAATAAAGATCTACTATTTAGGGGACTGTAGTAGGATCCCCCATTTTCGGAAACTCTAAACCCTGAACCCATATAGAACCCTATAGATCCCTTTAAGGAACCCTTACAGGATCCCTTTCAAGGTGCCCCTATGGGAGTACCCAGCACGAACGAGAGAAACCCAGACTCCCGGCAACCCTAAACCCTAAACTTTAAACCCTAAACCCTAAACCCTAAACCGAGGCCAAGGCGGGATGTCCAGGTAAATTGCTGGTTGACTGCAGCCACCGTGGCCTGGGGGTCTGAGCTTGTTTAGGGTTTAGGGTTTAGGGTTTTAGGGCTTTAGGGCTTTAGGGCTTTAGGGTTTAGGGTTTAGGGTTTAGGGTTTAGGGTTTTAGGGCTTTAGGGCTTTAGGGCTTTAGGGTTTAGGGTTTAGGGTTTAGGGTTTAGGGTTTAGGCTTCAAGGGTGGAATCCTGGGCTCTTGCTGAGGAGCTTAATCTAAGTTGTCGGAATAGGGATCTATAGTAAATAGTATGGCGCTTTGTTTTATGCTGGTACCTTTCTGTAGATTAAATCCTTTATCAAGAACCCAGAATATCAGAGTTGTTCCAAGGTACAAGGTGCGGTTGCTCTATGCAACCAATGGCTAGCTTGCATGCGGTGTTGTCAATGTCATGTGCTTGAACTGAAGGCCTGGGGTGTCCACTGAAAGCCCCTGCACAACTACTATGAGGAACTCCTGCCCAAGCCCCTGCTACAAAAGTTGACTATATAATGTCTGTAGATGGATAAGCACGCACACCTTCGAGAAGGCCAAGCAGACTCACATTACAAAACATTCGCAGGCAAGCGTAGAACGTATGTGCACAACATGCCTGTGCGGTGTTTATGTATGCCTGGCAAGGATGTGCTTCTTGAAAGGTACCTAAGCAATGCACATGTCTGTGTAGACACATAAAACCTTTGTGTATAGACATGTACATGTGTATATATGTATATATATATACATATATATCGTGCACATACACATATATAAATATATACACATACACACACGTAAGTATTTATTCTTATATTTATGTACTTATGTATGTGTATACATACTTATATACATATATATATATATACACACGTTGATATATGTATATACAGTATATATGTATATTGTGTGTGTATGCATGTGCGTCTTGTTACTTACATACTCCTGTGTGCATGTGCACAAACACGAGCGCACATAATAAGGATTCAGCCATGTGCCGAAACAACGATCGTAGCAGCCCACTGCGCCAATCCTTTGATACATACCTGTGTAACACCCCCGTTGCTGCATACTACGTAGTGCAGAACCACCCTTTTGCCTCATGTGTGTGCGTGTGGGTCATGTGGGCACTTGTGACTGTATGTGTGTGCTCGTTGATCCAGCTGCGTACACAGATTCGTGTCTCGTATATGCTTGTGCCTACATACAAGCGTACATACGTACATACATCCATACAAGCATATCAGAGATGATGGCGAGCTTACACACACGCGTGCACAGAGCCACCGCAAACCTCGAAGCCCTTCCGACTATGCTCCTTTACTACTGGCTCAAGCTTAGAGTTCCACAAAGATTTATAGAAGTCAGCACCCCTTCAGACTTGTCGAGGGTGCCTTGCAGATTCCAATCCCGTAATTGCGGGAAAGTCACCAACTCCTTTTAGTTCGCACAACGAAGTATCCTTAACGATAGAAAAGTCTGAACAGTTCGTGATATTCCTCGCGGCATAGCCCATAAACCTGCTGCAACTATTTAAGCCCCAACATTGCTCGAGGGTGCCTTCTCCCGCTCCAAGGATTTCTCCAGACGCAAGCCCCCGCGCAAAGACTGCCACATTTCCCAAATCCAGAGCAAATACTCATTTGGCCTGGGAAGTGTTTGGGGTTGGGAACGGGAACGGTATGGGGTTAGAAGGGGAGAGGTTCAGAGTTTTGGGCCGCAGGATTGAGGGTTTAGGTTGGTTGTTCTGCTTGTGGGGATTGAAACCCTAAACGTAAAACCCTAAACCATCCTAAACCCTAAACGTAAAGCCCTAAACCATCCTAAAACCCCAAACGTAAAGCCCTAAACCATCCTAAAACCCCAAACGTAAAGCCCTAAACCATCCTAAACCCTAAACGTAAAGCCCTAAACCATCCTAAACCCTAAACCATCCGAAACCCTACACCATCCTAAACCCTAAACCATCCTAAACCCTAAACCATCCTTAAACCCTAAACCATCCTAAACCCTAAACCATGCTTAGAGCTTAAGAAGGAGCCTCTTCGGGTTTTTACTGCGCCTGCGACTACTTCGACGAGGCAAGCTTGATCTGCGTGTCCCCGCAAGGAGACCCATAGCAAAAAGCGGGCATGGGGTTTCGGGTTTAGGGTTTAGGGTTAAGGTTTAGGGTTTAGGGATGCCGACAACAGTGATGAGGAAGCGGAAGTTCGCGATGGTTGAAATCAAGATGCTGCTGCTGTTGATGGTGACGGCGATGATGATGCTGGTGATGCTGGTGACGATGATGAATATGATGATGCTGATGATGACTGCTACTTTTATTCTTGATGACGACGATGACAACGGCGATGACTCGTGACAGCTGCAAGTTAAGGTCAAGTACTCTGAGTTGCCGTACCTCCACCCTTAAACCCAAAGCACTATAGGGTGGCAGGGTATAGTATAAAGTTATTGAAATCTAAAGGATCTAGCACAAGGACATTTTACACGATATGGTATAATATGTGGGTGGTTGTCAAAATTATGGTCCTTTTTGGGTCCTTACTATAATACGGCACCTAATATTCAGGGTGCCCAAAAGGGGGCCTTAAATTTGACAACCATCCATATGTCTTAGCTCTGATCCCTAACCCCAAATCCCCAAAATTTTCGCCCCGAGGCCGCCAACCCAAGTCCCTAAACCCCCCGAGCCATGAGCCCTGATCCCTGCTGCAAACACCCGTATGGCAAGGGCTTTAGGGTTTGGAGTTTTGTGCTTTGAGATTTAGGGCTTTAGTTTGGGGCGTGAGGGCTTCAGGGTTTGGGGTTTTGGGCTATCCTGCGAAAACTCCTGAATATAGGGGCCTTAATAGTTAGGATAAGGTTTTGGGGTTTAGCGGTAGTTAGAATAAAGTACCAGTAGCTATCCAGGCCTCTTTTTTCACACAAACCCGAATGAAAAGTAAAAAAGAACCCCGAACCCTAAAGCCCTCAAGCCCTAAACCCTAAACCCTAAAGCCCTAAAGCCCTAAACCCTAAACCCTAAAGCCCTCAAGCCCTAAACCCCAAACCCTAACGCCCTAAAGCCCTCAACCCTAAAGCCCTCTTGTAGATCTCAGCCCAAGAAGCTCGTAGGGGCGCTGCTTGTAGAGGAGCCTGTGCCCCCCCGAAAAATCAGGTGCAGAGATGCAGTAAGGTTAGTGCGTGGGCTTTGGAGTCGGGGGGATTTTAGGGTTTTAGGGTTTTCAGGTTCAGGGTTTTAGGGTTTAGGGTTTTCAGGTTTAGGGTTTTAGGGTTTTCAGGTTTAGGGTTTAGGTTTGTCTAGAAAACAGCCCAAGTTATGATAAGAACATTTGCACTGCGATACATCAGCCGGCATGGCCATGCTCAGGTCTCCACACACCACACTCTATATCAACGAACTCTGTACCCTATAGAAGCCACTATAGAACCCCAAAAAAAGCCCCCGGCTTGCTTCGGCAAAACGGGGCAAACCCGTCTGGGCCTCTTGGCGAGTGCCCGGCGGTCAAGCTTGAGACGATTCGTCTCCTGCCGGTGCGGTGGATTAGAGTTTAGGGTTTAGGCTTTAACTTTAGGGTTTAGGGTTTAGGTGGGGTTTAGGATTTAGGCTTTAGGCTTTAACTTTAGGGTTTAGGGTTTAGGTGGGGTTTAGGGTTTAGGCTTTAACTTTAGGGTTTAGGGTTTAGGGTTTGCGTCGGGTTTGGAATTTAGGGTTTAGGCTTTAACTTTAGGGCTTAAGGAACTTTAGGGTTTAAGGCTTAGGGTTTTGTGTGGGGTTTGGGGTTTGGGGTTTAGGGTTTAGGGTTTAGGGTTTAGGGTTTAGGGTTTAGGGTTTAGGGTTTAGGGTTTTAGGGTTTAGGGTTTAGGGTTTAGGGTTTTGTGTGTGGGGTTTGGGGTTTGGGGTTTAAGCCTTGCACCCAGAGAACCCAATACCCCTTACTTTGAAAAATTTACCTTAACTCATACTATTAAGGCCTCTATCATTTAAGGTATATTCCTTAATTAAGGAATATTCCTTAAATCATAGTAGGATTTAGGATCCCTTATATGATTTAAGGTATATTCCTTAACTAAGGGGTATTGGGGTTCTCTGGGCAGAGGCAAGTGGCTCCTGAGTAGGTTGGAGCCCTGTGGTTTTGTCTCCAATTCGTGCCTCGCTCTGTCTGTCCTACTGCTGATGATAGAGATCCTAGGGTTCCCTTTACAGGGATCTATAAGGGTACCTTTAAGGGGTTCCTTTGAGGGATCTATAGGGGGTTTAGGGTTTAGGATATAAACCCTGCACTACCTTAGGGACCCTGCACTATGGGAATTATTGCACATGCCTTATTATGGGTAATGCAGGATTTATATCATCAACCGTATCTCCCTGATCTCCTGAGAAGGACACCCCCCCGCCCTATACAGTACCGACCATTCAGAACGAGACTTATGTACACCCACTGAATCCCGACTGCGATCTCAATGAACCCAGAGACTCCAATATCCCTTAATTCAGGAATATTCCTTAAATTATAGTAGGATCCCATATATGATTTAAGGTATACTCCTTAATTAAGGGATATTGGAGTCTCTGGGAACCCTGTTTCTGGGGCGTGGCCTCGGTCAGACGCTTTGCAGAAGCATTGCAGAGCGAGTTCCTTCCGGAAGCTCGGTCATTAAGCTGCGGGGGATGCTTGGAATGTCTTAGTCAGTAGCATAGGTTCCTGAGTAGCTCTTTAATGATAAGGGTGCCCATGTTCCTGCTATATGGCTTCAACAAGGGAACCCACAAAAAGCAAAAGGGTACCACTAGGGAAGCTCGTGGCTTTATATAGAGGCCTGAAGTTTTAGTGACAGTGTCCCTTTAAAGTTCCTTTATATGTATGCTACACTATACCTAAAATCCCACTCCAATTGTCATAGCCTGCACAGTGGGGCGTACGGCTAGTCACGGCTAGTCTTTACGTGAAGGTGTTGTTCACTCATGCATACATACAATATGGTCATAAACATCTTGAATAGGGCTAGAAGCAACTGTAAGTGTAGCTACACTAATCATACCCCTTCTGACGGCAAGCCCCCCTATCGTTGATGTGAGCACCTTACAAGAACCCCAGATAAACCCGTATAGAACCGTTATACAAGCTTCAAAAACTCCCCCAGAAGACCGTTTGGGTTTTCAGAGTTCCGAGGCTTGGTCAGCATCATCATCATCATCATCATTCTCATCTGTGCCGGGCAGGCGAAGCAGGGGATGTTGGGACAGTCCCCCTAATTGTTTGCACCGAATGGTTGGGAGGTCGAGGCTGGCCGGCTGGCCTTTGGAGCCGGGAGACTGACGTGGCGACACGAGACCATTCATGTGGGCATGTCCATCCATCCATCTATCCATCCATCCATTCATGCATCCGTGCATGCATGCGTACATACATACAGGCACTTGTCATGTACACATGCATGTGCAGACGTACAAGCCACAAGAATCAGATGAGGCACTCCGAGATAAGCCACCGAACTTCGTTCCGGAGTGCAAACTCAACGGAATCACGCATCTCTTCGAGCTCCTTCGCTGTTGGCTCTTTCGGGCTTAAGGGCAAATATAGGGGCCTTATTAATTAGAATAGGGTTCTGGGGCCCCTTATACTATACTTACAAAAGGGAACCGCAAAATAGTATGGGTAATGATTACGGCCCCTATGTCAGGAGTATATGGCTTTGGGGGCCATGCCAGGTTGAGGGGCTTGCAAACTCAAGCGTTCAGAGTGTCGCACTCCTCCAACGAAACCCAAGTCAGCAAGGGGAACATCCCTGAAGCCCACTGCAAACCTTTGCCCCTGAAGCTCCAAATCATGAAGCCGTAAACTCACAAAACCCCAACCCGAATAAACTCAAAACCCTCAACCGGGTAATACCTGCAGCCTGGAGCTCATCCCCTTAAGAGCCTCAACACAGACTGATGCGATCCACATGGACTACTTTGCTCAGCTTCTCGAGCAGGCTGACGACCCGATTACAGTTTAAAGCTTAGCGTTTAGGGTTTACGGTCAGTTCCGTTCTTGGGAGTCGCACAGAGAAGCGCACAGAAAAGAAGTCTTGGATTGCCAAGGCACTCGTCGGATGCGTTCCTCCTTCTCCTGCTGGAGGACCGCGCAGAAGCCATGGAACCCATAGAAGAGGTTTTCGGTTTTGTTCCGCAGAAACAACCTGCACAAGTGACGAAGAAGAAGGACAGGCATCAGGGTCTAGGATTTAGGCTTTTGCGAAGTGAAACAAGTGACTCCCCCACGAGCTCCATATGCATAAGCCTAAGCTGTACATGTTACAGGCTGTGTATCGTGCGAAACCTTCCAGGCGCGGGTTCTCGGCCATGGGGGTATCGAGTCAAACCTTCCGGGCATCAGGGTTTAGGGTTTAGGGTTCAGCCGGCCGGTCTTAATAACGGCTCACCTAAGCCTGAGCCCCCATATCCAGCGTCCAGACGTCGCACCCAAACCCTCAACACCAGACCCAACACGAAAATAAGCAAGCTCCTTCAACCCGAAACACCAAACGGTAAGTTTCAGCCTGTCTCTCATCAGGTGGGTGCCCTTGTAGATCATCAGCTTCCGCGCCCGGTTGTGCCGGGCGTAGAGGTCGTTCTGCGCAAATGGCAAAACATTCTCAGGCGTCTACTCAGCATTTAGGATTCCCAGAAACTCCAATATTCCTTAATTAGGGAATATACCTTAAATCCATATTAAGGGTCCTACTATAATTTACGGTATATTCCTTAATTAAGGGATAGTAGTCTCTGGATTTAGGGCTGAAGCCTTGGGACGTTGTTGGGTTTAGGGCTGAGTGTACCGGGCTGGCTGAGGCTTTGTCTACGGTTCAGGGCTTGGGGCCTGGAGTCTGTGGGCTTGACGTATCTTGATGGGACATTGGGTCTTAGGCCGTGGAGTGTCTAGAGTTCAGAGCTTAAGAAGCTTTACTATCTTTCTCTATGGAAGGCGTCAGGATTTGTGTTGTGACGGTTTCTACGATTTAGGGCCTGTCCTGAAGAGCCTCATGATTTGAAACTTTGCATCAGCCTCGTCCCATCGAAGATGTTGCGTTTGTAGGATGTACATTCTGGTGGTTGTCAAAATTATGGTCCCTTTTGGGGTCCTTATTACAATACGGCACCTAATATGTAAGGTACCCAAAAAGGGACCCTAATTTTGACAACTACCCACCTGTACCCACTCAATATTGAACCTGTCCACCAAGAACTAATCTAAGGTAAAAGCCAGAAAGTTGGAATATGATTATCCTAACCCTTCTATGGTAAATTATAGGGTATCCTACCATGAAACCATATTCCAACTTTCTGGAGTTTCCTATAGTCCCAAAGCTCAAGAAACCCTAGAGCCTACAAACCCTAAATCACCAGAACACTAAAACCCTCAAGCCTACAGCCCCTAAGGTGAAAGCATTTCTGTTAAAACCCTAAACCCTGAACCGAATCGGCCCAGGCGCGTAGGCAGCCGCAAGCTTACCCTCTCTTTCCAGGACCATCATCAAGGACCTCGACGGTTTAGGGTTCAGGGTTGAGGGTTTAGGGAGCTTCTGAAGATGAAATACAAAAACAGGGGCCCCAAACCTTGTAAGGTGTTTAGGGTTCAGGGTTGGGGTTCAGGGTCTAGGCTAAGGGCCTGAGAGTGTTCGAAAATTCTCCGCACCGGACCTTGTAAGACCAGGGTTCGGAGGGGTATGCAGGGTCTGCAAGGGGGATGTAGGAGGGTACTCTGAGCCTATTCTACCGATGCTTGTGGGAGTTTCCGAAAGTTAGGAGTACCCTATGTTGGGGTCCTTACAACACGGATCCTAGTACTTAGGGTACTATGTAGGGTCCCATATTTTCGGAAACTCCCATGTAAGCCCCTGTCTCATGCCAGGCCACCGCGTCGTCTCGTCGAGTCTCTGCATTGCTTCTTCACCCTGGGAGAACGTGTTCGGGCTTCTGCTTTACCTGGTAGGGTTTAGGGCTTAAGGGTTTAGGGCTGAGGGTTTGGGGCGTAGGGTTTAGGGTTTAGGGTCTGTAGGGGTTCGGGTTGAAGGTTGGGGTATAGGGCGCAGGTGTAGCAGCAGGATGTAGGGACGTTTTGGGGCTTCGGGATCAAAAACCGAACGCTGTAGCTTCCTTCGGGTTTGCTGTACGCATGGATAGGTAGACAGCGAGACATCGAACCTTTATACAAACCTCAAAGAAACCGTTCCCGATAGAAACGTTTTCAGATAACTTGGAGAAACCTTCTAGAACCCTTATAGAACGTTTTCTGGAACCCTCACGGGAACCTGTTTCAATCAACACCTCGAAGAACCCGTTTAGGAACCTTCATAGAACCCGTATAGACCGTATAGAAGCCTTCGTTTCACCCTTGTACCCAGCCTTAATGAAATCCTTCTATATACGTAGAACCCTTGTAGAGAACTCCCTCTGGCCTGCATCTTTGATCTCTGCCAGTGCCCCCATCTGTCCTGTCAGGACTTCGGATGACCGCAGGTCTATATACTTACTCTTTAGGGACTGTGGAAGTTTAGGGTTGAGGGGTTTGGGCTCTATCGTTCAGTTCTTCGTGTCGTCACTGGCAGCCTGAAGAGCCTGGGAATCAACCAGCAACAGCCAGCCCTAAATCCTGATTCCAAACCCCCAAACCCCAAGACCCTAAACCCCTTATAGTAACACTTATACCACCCACCACTTCAGTGTACCCTCAACTCCATAAAGCGTGTTGTATATAAACTCCTAAACCCAAAAAAACCTCGACTGCTTGGAAATACCTAAACCCCTTATGCCACTCTAAAAAGCATGTAGTATATAGACTCCTAAACCTCAACACTCTACTGCTTGGAAAGAACCAGTCTCGAGCCGGTCCTCGCTTTCCTCCGTCTTCTGCTTGAGCCTTTTCTTCAGGTCGGTCACCTGTTTTATAGGGTCCTTAAGGGAGGGTGGTTCAAGGGGGGAGGGTAGAACGGATCCTTAGGGAACCTTAAGGGAACCTTAGGGAGCACTAGAGAGAACTAGGGATTAGTAGCTGATCTGCCCCCTTTGGAGCCCCCTCCCATAAGGATATTGTAACTGTTGGTGGAGGCTTGAAGGCTGTTGGATGGCTGGCTTTACCGGGCTGTGCGACGGCGACCGCAAGAAGAAGCAGAAACCACAACAATAACAAGAGCAAGAACAAGCACAATCACGAGAAAAATGATGAGAACAAGAACAAGAACAACAATAACAACAAAGCCAGCAACAAAAAGGCAACACCAACACCAACCGCAACGGCAACAGCATCCGCGCATTAGCATCGAATGGAAAAGTAAGAAGAATGCAGATTCTGATTACAGCACTCGAACTGGGCATGATCATGGATAGGCGTCTTCCTTCTTATTGCCGGACATCAAGCCCGGCCCCGCATCTGTGAGCCTCTACACGAGCTGCTGGGACCCTCAACCCACAGCAAAACCTAAAACGAACTACACCCACCAAAAGCAAAGCCCAAAACCCTTCCAGATTCTTCAAATAGTCATCAAACCCCATAACCGGCGCCTCATCCGTGAGCTCCTCGATGCGCTCGTGGGCCGCATCCAGCTTGGCCTGCAAAGCTGCCATGATCTTCTCCTCAGGAGGCCACCGACTCGGTGCTTCTGAGAGACTGAGGGTTTAGGGTGGGCTTAGGGTTGATGATAATTATGGGGTTTAGGGTGGGTTTAGGGCTTATGATAATTATGGGCTTTGGGGTGCTTTTAGGGTTGATGATGATTATGGGGTTTAGGGTTTGTGGTTGAGGATTTAAGTGTCTTGGACTTAGGATGTAGAGCTTAGGGCGGAGGATTGGCATACAAGAGCTTCGAGAGGGACTCCCAAACGGCTCCTATCCAAGTTCCTACATAGGGTCCCGCAAAGGGCTCGTTAACGACGACGGCGATGATGATGATGATGATGACGATGATGGTGATCACCATCACCTTCGCCATCATCATCATTATCATCATCATCATCATCATCAGCATGCTCATATTACCTATTTTTCATGGCCGATATTATCACCAGCATCACGAGCAAGATGATCATCATCAGCGTGATCAGCATCAGCATCACCTGCGGCAATCCCGAACAGTAGAGTTGACTGCATTAGTTTGTGTACTTCGCACGGGTTTGCCAGCTTCATAGAAAGGGAACCAAATATGAACCACAACAATAGGTTCCTTGTTAGAAGGACCCTGAAACAAAGGACCCCTACTTATCAGAAATTCCCAAGAAGCACAACCCGCCCCTTACAACCTTTTAAAAGCAAAGCAACCTTTAGAGAATATAGCACCTTGTCGACTTAGCCCTTGAAGGAACCCTAACGTCTACACCATATTACTCAAACCCTGAACCCTAAACCCCAAACCCTATAAACCCTAAGCTTTAAACCACGGAACCCTTTAGGGAACCCGACATCATTGCTGTCGAGATGCCGGGGAGGCATCACCACTGTCATTGAGGAGGTCCTCTTGATCGATGACGGGCTTACTATAGGGGCCTTAATAACTAGAATAGGGTCTTGGGGCCATTATACTATCTTAATATGCGGAACCCCCAAAATAGTAGTGGGAAATATTTTAGGGAAGTAGTGTTTAGGGTTTAAGGGCTCGCCGAAACTCAAACCCTAGGGCCTCGGATTGCAGGGTGTTCAGACCCAAATCCCCACAGGGGGTTTCTAGAACAGTTTCGTAGGCCTAGATCCGGCTTTGTAAGGGTTTCGTCCCGAAGCCACAAGACATAAACCTCAAACCAGCCCTCTGCCCCCAGAGACTCCAATATCTCTTAATTAAGGAATACTCCTTAAATTATGGTAGGACCCCTTATATGATTTAGGGTGTATTCCTTGGAGTCTCTGGGCCCTCAGGGTTTAGGGTTACAGGGCCCTAGCGGCTCACCCGTTGCAAGGCTGCTTGCGGTCGGGGCGGGGGGGTTTGAGGTCTAGAACTTGTATAGGTCCCTAAGGTCTAGGGGTTTTTTTGAGGGCTCTTTTCCACCTGTCTAGCAGCTAGAATTCCTTTACCAAGGTTTAGGGTTTTTTTGAATGCCTTTTTCCACCTGCGGACAGTTAGAATCCCATGTCTGAGAAGGCGCGGTGACGACCGAACTGTAGAAGCGAACAGGGTTTAGGGCTTTTGCCATAGCTCTTAAACATTGAGGGCGAGTATGTCAAACCCAAAGCCTGAAGGTTTCAACCTTGCGAATCAGCTTCGATTGCGGGTCACCGCCAAGTTAGACTTTCAGCAAAGCTTCGGGGGGATGCGGCTCGAAAGGTTCAGGGTTCAGGCGGGGTTTAGAGTTTAGGATTTCTGGGTTTGGGAGTTATTTTGGGAGTTGGTGTTTTTGTTGTTGTTGTGCGGTTTTTCGAGTTGAGGGGCTGAGGGCCGTCATTAAGTTAGGGGCAGATCATTCTGGGGTCCTTCTACTAAGGATCCTACTATTTAGGGTACTCTATTGTCCCCTATTTTCGGAAACTCCCATTGATGATCTGATGGCGACGGGAACGGAGTTGCTCCTCGTCGATGTCCCCAGCCACGCCCATGATGACGACACACTCCTTCATGAGCTCGGGTTGCACGGACATGTAGTAGTACCTGGGCTCGCATCCCCAGTTCCTTTTTGGGGCTCATATATAGAATCCTGTAAGGTAATCCCAATAAGAAACCCTAAAAAATATCATTGCTACTACTGGTGGTAGTATCACTACGGCGAACACCAATTTTTTGCTCTGGTTGCTGCTGTTCTGTCTGCCACTTTCTGCTCTGCTGTTCTTGTTCATACTGTTCCGTGTTGGGGGTTGTCATTCTTCTGATTGCTTTGGGTGCTGCTTCTGGTGGTAACACTGTCACTGCTGTCAGGCTGTTGTTAAGTCAACGCCTGTCTTGCTAGTCATAGTTTGGCATCAGGCGACAGTAGCAGCAGCAGCAGCAGCAGCCGTCGTCGTCTAGTGGGACGTCGTCGCCATCCCAGCAGCAGTCGCAGTTGTATTTGTTCGTCTGGCTATCACGTACTCTGCTCTAACGATTGCTAGAGCTGAGTTCCGACTACTATGACCTAGGCCCTAAACCCAAATCCCTCAACTCTGCAATTTATCGTGACCGGTGCCCACTGCTGATGAGCAATAGCTGCCCGACCCTAAACCATACCCTAAACTTTACCCTGAACCCCAAACCCTAAACCCTGAATGAACCCCAAACCACATACCATAGGTTTCCCAAACCCCGGAACTCTACTCATTCCAGCCCAAGTCCGAAAAAACATAGGAGCTTCTAGCCATAGGTCCTAAGGTTTAGAGCTTAAGGGTTTAGGGTTTAGGGTTTGGGTTCAGGGTTTCGGCTTAGGGTATTTAGGGTTTAGGGTCTAGCGCAAAATACCTACCTTCTGAAGGAACTCTGGAAATCATAACAAGGAGCCCGAAAATAGTAGGCTTTGAGGGGGCTATAGCCCGATTTGGGGGCTATAGGCTATAGGTCAGGTTCGGGCTCAGTGCTTCGAGTTCGGGCTTCAGGGTTCAGACTGCAAGACCTTCGGACTGTATATAAGTAGGAAAAACGGGCTCCGGATTCAGGATTCAGACTGCGAGGGCTCAGTGTCTTCGCCCTAAACCCTAAACCCTCAAACCCTAAACCCCCAGACCTTAAACCCTAAACCCTCTGTACTATGCACAGCTGGGCTGCGCCAGGTCGGCGGCGTGGCCCGCGCGATTCAGCTCCTGAACGACCTTGCTTGGAGCCGAGGACCAGGGCTGTGGAGGTGAGTGGGTTTAGGGGTTTAGGGTTGAGGGTTTGGAGTTTCGGGGGTTTAGGGTTTATAGGTTTAGAGGTTTAGGGTTTAGGGTTTGGGGTTTAGGGGTTTAGGGTTTTAGGGTTGAGGGTTTAGGGTTTCGGACCCTGCCGGGCCCTGTTCTGATCTACCGAACTTTGCGCAAAAGCGTTTGCCAACCTCGTAGTAAGCCGAGCTACAAGTCAGCACTGGCACACAATCCTATGCCCAATCTAAACCCCAAACCATGGCGCCGGCGTAATAACTCGTCCAGGATTCAAGCGAAGAGAATACTAGAGACCTCTGGGCGAGTGCGCGAAGCTGGAGCAAGAGCATGCAAAACCAGAGACGCTGAAGCATCAGGAACTTGTAGAAAGCAAGGGTCCCCAATAGAGATCTCAAGTGGGATATCCTGATCTAAAAGGCCCAAGCATTGCAAGAAACTTTCCCAGCCAAACTCCTAGCTCGACCCCGATACCCCGATACGTCAAACCAGGAACGCATGGACGTCAAGGGACGGCAATTACCCTTTTTTGCCCAGGGCTACCCTAAATCCTGAAACCTGAGCCTGGGATTACCCCATACCTTCGTGCGCCTCTCTGCCTGCGAAGACCGAGGCGCCGTAAGAAGGTGCGCCTTGAGCTTGTCGATATTCTTGCGCCGCTTCCTTGTAGGGTTTAGGGCAGCTTAGGTTCAGTCCTTACTGCTGATGGACAAAATCCTGCATTACCCATTATAAGGGATATACCATAGTTCCCATGGTTGAGAGTCCTTGGGGTCATGCAGGATTTTGTCCATCAACAGTAGTGTCTAGGGTTAAGGGTTCAGTCCTTGGTGTTCAGGGCTAAGGGGCCGGAACTCTGGGGTTGGAATGGGAGTAGTGTAGTAGTGTGTGACCATGCATGGAAGACCCGATGCTCATGTCAGATAGATCAGATAGGTAAATAGCTAGCTAGATCGATCGATGGAGGGATGGGCAGACAAAGAATCAGACATTTAGTTTGATATTTAGGTAGATACTTAGATCATCTTTGATCGATACTTAGACAGATAAAGACTTTAATATACACTTAGAAAGACACTTAGATAGATGCTTAGATAGATACTTACATGGACAGATTGGATTAGCATTGCTTAGCTCAGCTAAGGTTAGATCAGGTCAAGTAGATTAAACTAGACCACTAAACCAGACAAGAATATATAGATATAGATAGCTACATAGCTAGAAAGATAGCTAGGTAGGCAGGTAGATAGATCGATTCAGATAATGGCTGGCTATTGATACGTGCCTGAACCCCGCATGAGTACCTTGACCGAGCATCACTACTTCCTCAGATCCGCTGCACGGATATGCAGCTGTGCTGTGCAGCGGTAAACCGAAAACCGTAACTAAAACACCAAAGCCCTAAACCTTAAACTTACCCCCTGAACCCTTCACCTTGAACTTGAACCCTGAACCCTAAACCCTCCAAGCCCCAGAACTTCCACCCTAAACCCTGCACTTTCACACCCTAAGCCCGAAAAGCACGAGAACCCCCAGAAACCCAACAGTTCCGCCAGGACGCGGCTTGAGCGCCAGCATCTCCAGATCCTTGAAAAGCTCCTGCGAAAGGACTCGAAGACAGGATAGGGCTTCTGTAGATATGAACTCTTTATAGGGTGACTTCAAAACTTTTAGTGGGTTTGCTGTAGGAGTCTTCATACATGGAATGGGGTTTTGTGAGGGTTTGCGTAGACATGAATTCTGTAGGGTTTGATAGACCCTAAACCCTAAACCCTAAACCCTAAACCCTAAACCCTAACCATAAGGGGTCTCTGGGGTCTAGTCGAGATACTTCAACACGGCTTCAGTAGGTTTGCATAAGGGGCTCTGCAGAAGTCCCGTCGAGTTTATGAGGCTTCTCTACCCTTAGGTTTTAAATTGGGTCCTGTACCGGTTTGTGTAGAAATCTGGGAGGCTCATAGAGTGTCCATGGGGATCGAATTTAATTTGGAGCCTCCGTAGATAGGATTGGGGGTTTTGGGGGGAGGGGCGGGTACATTATGGTATAACTATATTTACGGTATGACTATATTACTCCTCCAACCAGAACATCGAGGCTGAACGCTAGCCGTCCTGCTGTGGCTTAAGTTAGGATGTAGAGTATGCATACAGAGTTCCAGTGTTTCGGGTGTAAGGCTTCGGCTTCCGATTTGGGAGTTTCCGAAAATTAGGGGTTCCTTATTTGGGGTCCTTGTCAGAAGGATCCTACTATTTAGGGCACTATATTAACCCTAAACCCTAAACCCTTATTTTCGGAAACTCCCATTTAGGGCTCCAGGGCTTTAGGGCAAAGACCCACGTGACACAACCGAGTGATCCCGGACAGGGCAATACGCACAGCACATAAACCCTAAACCCACAGTTGCAGAAGCCGCATGGGAATGATTTGCAGACCCTGCAGTCTGAACTTCGACTGGGTTAAGGGTTTAGGTTTCAGCGTTTAGGGGTTTAGGGAGCAAGGGAGAGGCTTTCGGAGGCGAGCTGCAATGCGGGCGCGCTCAACTAATGGGCAATCAGTGTGGCCAGAGTTCTCGCCGTGTGTCGGCTTGAAATTCTCAGTTTAGAATTTGTCTAGTGTCCCGAACCATCAGAAACAGGGTCTCCGGTGGTACATTGTAGTATGATGTCTTAAGGACTTCATGGGGATACACTTGCTCCTTATTCACGCTTCTATGGTCCGGAGGCCAGGCATCACCAATCCCGCTGTCCTCCTCTTCCTCCTCTTCCTCTTCACCCTCCTGAGCTCGAAGAACTGCCCGGCCCTTGACCCAAAAGCCCCCAGACTCCTGAACTCTAATGTTACAGACCCCACCTGTACGTGTAGGCTTTGATGTATGGCTGGGGTGCATATGGGAAACCAGTCTAGCTAGTGGACTTCGAGTGTCGGACCGTCTCACCCCTCTCGATTGATGTTACGACTCGTTACGCCTCATGTGTGGGCCTTGATCATTAGAATCGGGCTTTGGGCATACTCCCTGCATTTGCGCATAGTCCCTGTATCTCGGTGACGACGACGAGCCGTGAAGCATCCTCTTACTGTCGTGGATGGCTACTGGTCTTGCATTCGCAACCTTCGTGCCTTGGCGAATGCCTATGGCCGTACTCGCAGTCGGACTACAGATTCTCGACAGCACTACGACGCGGAAGAGGTACAACAAAGTGTTCTCGCTCTGCGCAAGCCAATGAATACTTGGTTCCTGTATCTGGGACACACTTGGCTTTCAACATGGCTGATGTTCGTCGAAGTTATCATGCTTGCATTTTTCATTGCATTGTTCAGTATAATGATAGGTGCCATAGGTGCCTTAATAACTAGAATAGGCTTTTGGGGTCCATTATACTATAGCTATACTAATAAGGAACCCCCATGATAATTACAACAGGCTTTTGGGGTCCACTATACCATAAATATATGATAAGTAAGGAACCCCCAAGATAGTATTGGTAGTTATTAAGGCCCCTATACTAAACCTTTATAGTAGCCCCATAGAAGCCCTTATAGACCCCCTTTTACGGAACCCTAAGGAACCCCCAAGATAATATTGGTTATTAAGGCCCCTACATTACAGGCTTCCCCAGCACGAACATGCAAATCGGAGCGATGAGGCGATGATGCTTCTTTGTGTTGGGTTTAGGGTTTAGGGGTTTAGGGTTCAGGGTTCAGGCCTGCACCTCAAAGCACGCACAAACAAGACCTCAACCCGAAACGCCTGATGGGGTTTAGGGTTTAGGGCTCACAGCCTCAACCGTTGGTCCCTAAACCCGAAACGCCTAAACCGTGAACTTCCAAACCCACAGAACCCCCAAGGCAAATCCACCCATCTCCAAGCCGGGACGCCTCTGGCTCGTCTGAGAGATACTCATGCCAGTTCCAGGGGTCGTAGTGGTGATCCTTGAGTACCTCAGCTCTGCCACCCCAAGGGCTTCTAGGGCTATAACTTGTAACCAATGGCGTTAGCTACCATTTTTCTGTGTGCCTATGGTGTTTTACAAAGTTGCATACGGTTGCTATGGGGTCTACGTAGAGGATCGCGCGGATCAGGAGACTTGGTAAGTAGGGTCATAGTCAGAGTAGCCACTCTACACTGAAAAGTACGCATGACCCTGATGGACCTATCACCGTACTTTGGACTACCCATGGGCCTTCATGCAATCAGGCAGCTCTGCATCCTCGCCTGCCTACAGCCTCGCAGACTCGCGGACCTATTCCCCGGAGCCCTGAAATCCTCAAGCCGCACAGCGTAAGCCTTCAACCCGAAGCCCTAAACCCTAAAGCCTAAACCCTAAACCCCTAAACCCTAACCCGAGCCCCCGAAACCCGAAACCCTCCTACCAGCAATAACCACCAAACCCTAAACCATTAAATGACTTACCCGAAGCCGGATCTACCCGCGACCCCAAGACGGCAAACGGGCAGTGGGTTTGACAACTCAGGTTGCGAAGTTTAAGCTACGCTTTGTTCAGAACTTGTTGGTCTCGCCTCAGAGCCTAGGGCATGGATTTTCACACCTTTCTCGTAGACACCTAGGGTTTAGGGTTTAGGGTGTGACTCTTAGGTAATCCTTATGACTCCACGCCCTTGGACCCAAAGAGAAAACATAAATCGCATACTAGTTTACGAACCGCCGCGTTCATACTAAAGCATACGTGACAATAATCCCTCAGGTCCCGAAACATCCAGATAATAACCCTAAACCCTAAAACCCTAAACCCCAAAATAGCTTAGTTTAGTTAAAGGCGATGACGCCCTTCCAACACCCAGTGGTCGAGCTTGGGGACACGAAATCCCACGAACCTAACATAGCGGCCTGAATAATTACCTATACGATTTTGGGGCTTCCTTTAAATTGCACAAACCGTTTCGGGGTTCCTTTACAAGAGTCTATACGGGCTTCCTTAAGGGCTTTTCATGGGCCCCAAAACCCTAGAATACTAATTTATCATGGCCCCTACATTATCTTGCTCGAACAGAAAAGGAACCCTTAAATGAACGCACTCACGGCGACCATTAAAACAATCTTTCAACGGAAACCCTAAACCCCAAAGCCCTGAACCCTAAACCCAATCCCCTAAAGCCATAAACCTTAAATTACGCTCTCACTCCTGGATGCAGCATGGCACGTTTAGGGCCTGGCGCAGGCGTTCGAAGGCCTCCACTGGAGTCTCCATGGTGTACACCATGGCGGCTTAGGTCTGCCGAGGCTTAAACTCTAAACCCTGAAAAAAGGCCCCAACCGAGGCTCCGAGGAGATCTGTGCTAAACGCGCAGAGGTCAGCGAAGCACTCTAGGACTTCGCAGAGGCAACACAAGCAGTAGCAGCTCCACAGATCAACAATGGCCAAAGCACTCGCTGTCCAAGTTGGTGGCGACATGTGTAAACCGTGGACTAACTACCAAGCAATGTAGGTTCCGCTTCCGCTTAAGCTTCGATTCCTTCAGGGAACTACGTGGTTCGAGGCTTCTCAGGTGTCCGCTTTTGCCTCTCATGCTCTAAAACCCACTGACCTTCTAACTAAACCGATACTGAACCCCGACCCACAGCACAGCACCTATCTACAAAGCAAGCTAGCCAAGCGCTGCGTGCTTGCCGAACACACGAGTCACCTAGGGAGCCTGGAGGGATATAGCACTTGGAGGTTCATGGGTAGTTATAAGTAGGGCTATAAGTCCCCGAACAGGGGTTACAAGCATAGTTACCCTACTTATAACTACCCATGAACCTACAAGTAAGTCCCAAAAAGGTTGGACACCGGATTGAGGACAATTAGTGACAGGATTCCCTATACATGACTCTTCAGGATTGAGGCCATGGGGTTTCTAATTTTTGGGCTTCTCCTGTTGGGCTTTTGGCGTTTGGTTTCGCATAAACGAAGGATTTCGCGTCATTCTGAACCCTGGGTGCTGCGATCCCCCCCCCCGGGTGCTGCGATCCCCCCCCCTGAACTGAACAGCTACCGCTCCTAGAAGCCACAGCTCAAAGCTCATAACTTCCAAGAATCAAGGTGCTGATCATCTTGAGGGCGGTCACTTTGGGATTTAATCTTCAGCTGCAGGGGTTTGCTATGATAAGCGCGGGGATATCTTCATCCGACAGTTTGGGGCCTGGCTTTTGGTCTGGTTTAGGGGAGGGCTTTTGGGGATTTTAGGGTTTGCGGTCTCCGTAACTCGCACGTGATGGCCATTATCATGATCATGGTCATGGCAGCCATAGGATTAGTACCAACCGCGCTAACAAGAGTGGCAACGAGATCGGCCGTCGGTTGCCAAAACCCTAAGCCCCAGACCCTAAACCCTAAACTCTAAACCCTAGACCTCTGTGGCCGACATGCCATGAAGGACTATACCCTTGCCACGAGATCAAGTACATTCATCAACCAAAGACACCTCTTTTAAACAAAACCATAAAGACCTATACAAATCCCATAGAACTCTATAAATCGCGCACCCTCCTTGTTCCTCAACTGAGATGTTTTTGGATGTGACCGGACTTGCCAACTCCCTTACACTCTCGGGCGCAACCTTGCCATTACCCCCATCACTTAAGAAAAAGGCGGGGTCGACTTTTTCGAGTAATTATGTACTTGGAGGGGCAGGGGACTTAGTAAGTAGGTTATAAGTAGAGTTATAAGTAATGGAGTTACCCCAATTATATCCCTACTTATAAACGACTTACTAAGTCCCCTGCCCTTCCAAGTAGGGTTTAGGGCTTAGGCTGAATACCACTCAGCTCTCTCTTCCCCGCTGGGTGGACAAGCATTTTCTCACATTGTCAAAAGCACGACGGTGTTTGCTGCGCACAGCAGAACAGGCTACTCAGAGACAACAATCTAAGCATGCCTGCCCATTTGGAGGCATCCGGGGTGCGCTACTTCCGATTGACGCAATTTCCACTGTTCCAGTCCAGTGACACATGACTTTCTCATTTCGCCCTTAGAACTTTCAACATGCATCCTACAAGACGAACATAGACAAACATGTAGGACTACAGAAGAGTTCATACAGTGGACTGGACTCGCTATAGTTGTCAGCTTCCCGACCCGATCTTCTCGGGCTGCGGATGGAAAATGATGAAAATGTCGTGTGGCGCCGTTTCAGATGCTCTACAGGGGTTTGAGCGGTAGGGGTTTAGAATTCAGGGGCATGGCCAACTCTCGCAGATGGTAGGTTTGCTGTGATGTTCCGCAGCCTGCACACCTCAAACTCCCTGTAGCCGAAACTGACACCGGGCAGCCTTGCTGCACTCAACAGCTGATATGTCTCGAACTTTCTGCAATTTCCGAAGCCCCGACAAGAAGCTTGCATATCGCACCCGGCGAGTCTCGATAGTAAGAGCTCCAACCGAGTTCTTGGATATTCGCTGACGAACTGCCGAGACACATCCATGTAGTTCTTTCGCAAAGGCCTCTGTCCAGTCAATGCGTGTGGCACGGTCGTTGTCGCTTTTTTGCTCCCAAACCCCAAACTCTGAGATCCTTTCAGCTCAGCTTAACTGAAGACATCGAAACTTTTCTCCTTGCTTCCCAAATCGGAAGGCATTCGAGTTCTGTGTTTTTCTATCGGCTATTAACGGGGTTCTACAATCATCAATACGGTTTGGGATAGTTTATGATCTAAACATGATATAAGGGCTCTACAGAAGCTTAGAGCTTGGGATAGGTGTCCCCTTTCGCACCACTCCGTGGTTTCACCGCCCGATCACGTGCATTGTGGTTTTAGGGTTTCGGTTTGCCCAGTATCTAGAATTTCTGGCCCAGAGAGGTACGTTCTGAGTTCCTCGCTTGGCGGCATAACGAGTCATCGCCTACCAGGAGCCCTGCGTTCGAAACACTGGGTAAACGCTAATAGTGTTCATGGCCCTGGACTCTAAGACAGACGAATCCGGGCCTTTAGGAGTCCTGGTTCAGCCTCGCGTTGGGGGTGTAGGCGACCTGTCTGCTCGGTGAAAGCAAGCGAATCTCAAGATGGTTGCTTGCGCACAAGACTGGCTATTCGGCCTAACTTCGAAAACTCCACAATGCCGACCGATAGGTCTGTCGCGCAGTCGTTTGATTCTTGTGCTACTGCACTGCCATGTAACTGCCCCAGCTGATGTTGTGATACATGATTGGACGACTCCGAACTACCAAATCTATGAAGAGTCCGTATATATGTATGTATATATATATAGGTATATTTTCTGTATATATATATATATATATATATTTATTTAATTTATTTATATATAGTTAATTATGGTTGCGCCCCGGCGGGCCCCCCCCCTCCCCCTCCCCCTCCCCCCCCTCCCCCCCCTCCCCCCCAAGAGCTTGCTGCAGATAGTAGCCACTCGCCGCATGCCCGTACAGCCGGGCCGAGGCGGACGACGCGCAGCGTTTCAAATTACAGGAAGCAATACACCTCAAAACTTAAAAACCCAGACCCTAAACTTACCTTTGGTTCGTAGGGAATGGAAGAATGGTAGTAAATAGTAGTTGTAATTGTAACCCATTCCTCCATTCCCTACTAACCACAGGTAAGTAAACCCTGATCCTCTAAACCCTAAACCCCCAAAACCCTAAACCCCAAACCCCGAAACCCTGCCCTAAACCCTAAACCGTGATCTCCTAAACTCCGAACATTCCAGAAACCCGAACGACTGGAGCCTAAACCCCTGCAACTCGACCCAGCCATGACGGATGGCTCAGGCAGTGTGACCCTGCCGACATGCCCAGAGGCCAAGACGCCAAAATTAAGGCATAGCTTCGGGTCTAGAGTTTAGGAAAGTTCCCTAAATCATGGTATCCATCACTCTGCTGGGATATTCCTTCAATCATAAGATTGATTAAGCCCTCTATGGATTAAGTGGTATTCCACAATGCAGTGTGGGAAATAGTAAAGAGTTGAAGCATTCTAGTATGACATTCCCCAAAACCACATTCAAAATATCATAGGGACCCTGAGGGGGGTAAGGGGGAGGGAAGTGGGGGACTATACTTCCTTAAATAGTCCTATTGGGTCCTTATTATGGGCATTAAGGCCTCCTACCCCCACTCCCCCTACCCCCCTAAGCATCCCTATGAAATTATCAAGCCCCCGTTCATTCATTAAGAGCTTGGAGCTCTCTGGGTTCGCAAGGTCCTACCGCAAGGCCCGACATGAGAATAAGTGCAGTGCGCCATGAGGCCAGCCCTCGGCCCCTCCAGAATTGAGAGGAGTTGGGATCATCACAAGGGTTTCGGGTGTAGGGTTTAGCGGTTTAGGAGTTTAGCGTTTAGGGCTTTTAGGGTTTAGGGTTTGGGGTCTAGGAGTTGAGATTTGGGGTTTAGGATTTAGGATTTGGGGTCTAGTTAGAGTCAGCACAGCTCGGCGAACCTCGTAAAGGAAACGAAGCCACAAGGTCTAGGCTAAAGGGGCCAACGTCAATATTCTTTGGCCCGGACCCAGATTGCCGAACCTACTGCTTCACGATTAGAACCGGCTTTTGCACCTAAACCCTAAACCCTTAACCCTCAAAACAAGGCACCTACAAAGAGGGTTTGTAAAGAATGCTGACATTCCTCAGAAAGCTCTGGTACACTCAAGATTTCCTGCACCTCCCGGGGCTGAAGAAGTGAAGGCCTGTACCCAAAGAACCCAATACCGCTTAATTAAGGAATATACCATAAATGTTAGACTTAATTAAGGAATATACCATAAATGATAGAGGCCTTAATGTTATGATTTAAGGTATATTCCTTGACTAAGGGGTATTGGGATCTTTGGGTAGTAGGCTTTCCCGTTCGCGTTTCGGGTTTAGGGATTCGGGTTCAGGGTTTAGGATGGCTTTGGGTTTAGGATCGAGGGGTGGCTCATTGAAGGGCTCCTTTAAGGGCTCCTTTAAGGTCTCCTGTAAGGGATCCTTTAAGGTGTCCTTTAAGGGATATGGTGTTTCGGTTTGGGATTCCCGAGCCCGTGGCTGTTGGCCGGTGCCCGAGAGAGGAGGGAAATTTCCCTCATCGCAGCACTCGAAATCCGATCGGATGTGCTGCAGAGAAAAGCACTACCCTAATATAGGGGCCTCAATAATTAGAATAAGATCCCTTTTCAGGGGTCTATAAGGGTTGCTAGAAACGCTATCAGAAGGATATAATATTACAGGCATTACAGGCCTTAATGATTAATAATTAGACTGGGGTTTTGGGGTATGCTATACTATATATATATATATGTATATATATATATATATATATATACATATATACATATAACATGATAAAGAACCCCAAAATGACATTGGTAATTATTAAGGCCCCTATATTACAGCCCCAAAAGTTGGGGCTTATCGGACGCACCTGGATCTACAGAACGGTACGCGCGCTGGTCACTCAGAAGCCTAGCGATCACTGAAAGCCCCAACAGGTCCGAGCTCGGAAGCGCAGCCGAATTAATAACATCAGGGCTCCTAAGATTGCGATAGGGCTGTGGGTGGTAGGCTTTTTCTTATGAACATATCGTGGGGCCCATATGGGATGATCCCTGAAGGGTCCCCTTAAAGGGTAGTATAGGGTTCTATGACAGGATCCCCTTCAAGGGAAGGCTTTGAAAAGGCCCCCCTACATTACAAGACGGCGCTCAGATCATGGAGCTCATCCTCCGCTATTTCGTCCAGAGCCTGAGCTCCCCCATCGACGTAGGAGGGTTTAGGGTTTAGTCAAGTCAAGAAACTACGATGGCAAGCTGCGAGGGGAACTGCACCAAGGGGCAGGCGCCGAAAGGAAGGGTGGTTCGAGTGGGGACCCTCAAAGCCGCTAATCTTACCCAGAGACTCCAATATCCCTTAATTAAGGAATATTCCTTAAATCATATTAGGGATCCGACTAAAATTTAAGGAATATTCTTAATTAAGGGATATTGGAGTCTCTGGGTGCACCTCCCCCAAGCTGCAAAAGAACGCCAAGAAGCACTGAGGAAGAGCCGCGCGTGAATTACCTCAGGCCGGCTGTGATGCTTGGAGCGCGAAGGTGATGATGATGATGATGGTGATGATGATGGTTAGGGTTTAGGGTTTAGGGTTTGATGGTGATGGTGGTGGTGATGGTGATGATGTTGATGATGATGGTGCTGTTTACGAAGGACGCAATGGCCAGGAGGGCGGCGACAGCGACAGTAACTGATTCGCTGATGGTGGCGATCATGCAGATACAACATGATACGATCACAACGATAGCAACAGTGGTGCTGACGAATATGATGGTCATGGTGATGATGCTGGTGATGCTGATGATGCCGGTGATGCTGATGATGCTGGCAATGCTGATGATGCTGATGATGCTGATGATGCTGATGATGCTGATGATGCTGATGATGCTGATGACGCTGATGATGCTGATGATGCTGATGACGATGATGCTGGCGGTCACGATGAGGATAATGGTGATGGAGGTGCTGCTGGTAACGATGATGACGATCACGATGACGGTAATGACGATGAAGATGTTGAAATGCTGTTGAAGTTGATGATGCTGACGATGCTGCTGCTGATGATGACGATGATGATGAAGAAGAAGAAGATGATGATGAGGTAGGTGATATTGGCGATGTTGGTGATGTTGCTGATGGTGCAGAAATGAGCAGTGTGCTTGGACATCTGTCCAGGATTGCGCGACATCCTAGCTTCCAACTTTTCAACGGGGAGCCCAAGCCTCGCCAGCACCACCCAAAATAAAGCAAATATTAGAAGGGGCCCCCACCCTGTAATAGTGGTAGAATAGGAATATGATAGGGCCCTAGTATAATCCTTATAGTCACTATTACAGGGTGGGGGCAGCTTCGAAAGCAAATGCCACAAACAACTCGGAGGCCTCAAAAGGTGGGATGAAGGTAGGTAGGATTGAGGATCCCTTATATAAGGACTCTTATTTGGGAATATCCCGCCTACCTATTTTGAGGCCTCCGAACAACGTAGCATCTAAACGCACACTTTGCCCAGATGTTTGACGTTTTGCCCAGATGTTTTGGCGTTTCTCTTCAACTGCTGTGTTACCACGGGACCTTCACTATGCAACAACCGGTTCTGGCCTAAACTTCGAGCAAGACAAAATCATCGGGACCCTTGGGGGTTAGAGGACTATACCTCCTTAAATAGGCCTTATTATTATTACTATTATTACTATCATTACTATTATTACTATTATTACTAGTGTTATTATTATTAGTATTACTATGATTATTATTGTTATTATTGTTATTAATATTACTATTATTATTATTATTACTATTACATCCTTATTACAGGTGTTAAGGCCCCTACCCCCCTAAGGGTCCTTATGACAAAGCCGCAGTCGAAATATGTGCAAACGGCACATCGGCATCATGCTCAGGCTATTTGCGAGTTTCCGAAAAACGGGGACCCTAAGAAAGTACCCTAAATAGTGGGATCCATATTATAAGGACCCCAACAATCAGGTTCTGGTACCGTGACGGATCTACGAGAAAGGGAACCACACTGGCAGCACGCGGCAAGTATTCTGCCGTTACATCTCCACATAAAAGTTCGGTGTCAGGGCTTAGAGAGTTTAGGGGTTAGGGCGGGTACAAACATGAAAAAAGAAAAGATGTAGAGCTGCTAAACCTCAAACGACTAGCAGTTGCGTGTTATTGCGGCTAGTGCCGTTTTCAGCTAAGCTGTTTCTCCCTAAACCCTAAACCCTAAACCCTAAACCCTAAACCCCTAAACCCTAAACCCTAAACCCTAAAAGCCCAGCCACAAGCTCCGCAGAGACATCGGGATGTCTGGCCGTTACAGACAAGAGCTGCTGGTAGCTCAAGCACCTCAGAAAGTCCCCACCCAATGGGCTCCGATATCCTTTAATTAAGGAATAGCTAGGGTTCCTTTAGGGGACCTATAAGGGATCTATAGGGTTTCGGGTTTCGGGGACTCCGATATCCCTTAATTAAGGAATATACTTGATTTCATATTCGGGATCCTACTCTGTTTTGAGGTATACTCTTAACTAAGGGATATTGGAGTGTCTGTGAAGGCTGAGAGAGATGCGCCTATCCCCCGAGCGCCCAGTGACAACTAAATCAGGAACAAACCCGCTTGTATCAGCGATACTCACATAATCCTTACTTGGGCGGTTGTCAGACGTATGGTCCGTTTTCGGGTCCCTATTATATTACGGCACCAATCATTTAGGGTGCCTAAAAAGGGACCCCTACATAAGGGAGAATGAAATCAAAGGGAACATGAGAGAAATGTACGTGCTCTGAAGCTGTCTGTACTCAACTCAAAGGTAAACTCTGAATCCCAAGCCCCAAACTGCCCAACCCTAAACCCTAAAACCCTAGAGCCCTAAAGCCCTAAACCTTAAAGCCCTAAAAGCCTAAAACCCTAAACCCTAAAACCCTCAAAGCCTAAAGCCCTAAACCCCCAAACCCTAAAACCCTGAAACCCTGAAACCCTAAACTCCCCAATATGCAATATTCACGTCAAAGGTGCAGAAGGCTCGCGCTGGAGCCGGCAACTGCTTGCCCCAGGTACTGCCAGTGCGTCCTTAATATAGAACCCTATTAGAGATGCCTTGTAAACCCCTTCACGAGCCCTTTAATCCTTAAGGGCTTCCCGAGGTTTCGGCTGGCTTCGGAACCTAACGTAAAAGACACGGGCCTTTAGGGTTTAGGGGTTTAGGATTTAGGGATTTAATAAATCAGGGTTTTAGGGTTCAGGGTTTAGGGTTTTTTAAATGCAGTAAGGTTTAGGGCTCAGGGTTTCGGGTATGTACAATACAGGGGCCTTTTATGAAGGTTTGGGGCGTGTACCAGAGTCAAGCACATGGGACTACAACGGGGGATGAAATGACTGATTCTTCAGACCCCTATGTTGTTGCCTCTGGGCAACTACTTGGAGGTTCATGGGACTTAATAAGTACAGTTAATGTACCCTAATTGGGTTATAAGTACATATAAGTGTAGTTACCAATATTATAACCCTAGTTAGGACTTAGTAGGTTCAGGGTAGGGGTCTGGAGTTTCACATCTAGCTAAAGCATGAGACTTGCTTCTTCGCAGGCGAGCATCCATAGACACCCCTCGCACATCCAGTGACCAGGCGTGACGCGCAAGACCCGGGTCCGACTCTTCTGAGACTTCCCTGACTTGACAAAATTCTGAACCTGTTGGCTTGCAGTTATCGGAGACATCGTCGCCCACGTAGTTGCACGATTCACGGACCAGGTCTTCGCTGTTTGTGGGTTGCTGCGCTCTGTCTGTGTAACCATGCCTTTCTGCTTGTACAAGACGAAATTGTATGCCACAAACAACATGTTGTCGCATCGTAGCCCAGGAGAGAACAAGGTCTCATTCGGTGCCAGCGTCCAGTCAGAAAGACCCTGCACGCACAGGTCGTACTGGAAGTCTGGATACTTCACCATCAAGGAGAAAAACGTCTGATGGCAGGCCACTATGCCACCGAACGCCTCGCCACATAATTCCGTATGCAACAGTTCGGGTAGAAGTGAAGCTATTTCGAGCTTGGAAGGCAGGGTGACTCTCTTCACAGTCTGCTTGAGATAGTCCTTCAAGCGACGTTCCAACTTCCAAGAAACCGGATATGTCTCCAGGAAGTCCTTGGAATGGGCGTCTCTTGCGATCTTCGGGTTGAAATTGACCAAGCCAGGGTTTGATTGGGTGGAACCCAGGTGGACATTTTAAGTTTGGGTCCTGGGTCCTCGGGCTTGGGGCCTTCAGTGCTGTTATCGGCTTTGAAAGGATTCCTGCTAATGCAACCTTCTTTGTACTAGCACTACCATTTTGCTCTCGCGTTGTGGTTGTCGTCGTCGTTGTAGTTGTCGTCGTAATCGCCGCAAACCGTCGCCGTCGTCTGGTCGGCGTATAGTCATCGTCTAATCGTAGCCTAGTCGTCGTCTAGTTATCGTCTCCGTAGTAGCAGTAGTATTAGCAGTAGTACTGGCAGTAGTAGTAGTAGTAGTAGTAGTAGTAGTAGTAGGAGGAGGAGGAGGAGGAGGAGGGGAGGAGAAGGAGGAGTAGTAGCAACACGAGTAATAGTAGTAGCAGTAGTAGTAGTAGTAGTAGTAGTAGTAGCAGTAGTAGTGTTAGTGGTAGTGTTCGTGGTAGTGGTAGTGGTAGCGGTAGTGGTAGTGGTAGCGGTAGCGGTAGCGGTGGCGGTGGCAGTGGCGGTAGCGGTAGCGGTAGCGGTAGCGGTAGCGGTAGCCTTAGCCTTAGCCTTAGCCTTAGCCTTAGCCTTAGCCTTAGCCTTAGCCTTAGCCTTAGCCTCAGCCTCAGCCTCAGCCTCAGCCTTAGCCTTAGCGGTAGTGGTAGTGGTAGTGGTAGTGGTCGTGGTGGTGTAAGTAATAACAGAAGTAGTGTAGCAGTTGTTGTTGTTGTCGCAGTAGTCGTAGCAGTATTAGAGTAGTAGCCGCCAGTGTGCTTCCACGCACCCCTCAAAAGGCTTAGCAGGCTGTCGGACCCAAAAGATACAAAAGTAGTAGTTGTACCACTTATCTACCTGAAGACATCTGGATGGTCCTGCTCAGAAGCGGGGCCTCGCCTTTACAGCAACTTCACTTCTTTTCAAGTCCTGGGTAAGGTCTAGGATTGCGACGAACTGAAAACCAAGAGGTTTAGTGGACACTGAAGAACAGCATGAACACGCTCTTTAAACCTCAGTGCACCTACTGCTTGTCTTCCACACTTTCTGTGGTAGCGGTAGCGATGGTGGCAGTGCTGGTGGTGGTAGCAGCGCCACAGCCGCAGCAGGAGGAGGAGTGGTAGTTGAAGTAGCAGTAGTAGTGGCGGTGGTAGTGGTAGTGAAGGAGGAGATGGTGTTGTTGATCATGCTTCCCAACTTGTCTTGCAAAGCGTCGGAGAGTTGGCAATCTGCTTCACCCTGCTGCCGCCGCACACGACGGATATCCGACATGTCGTTGGTGACGATGGAGGTGAAAATGGACCCGATTCTTAGAAGTGCAATCGCAGTGCTGCATAGGTCTGACATGCCAGAGGGCATTAAAAAGTGGAAACTTCTGCAACCCCTGGCAAACAGCAGTCACTAGCAGTCTTCCCTCCGCACGGAGAGTTTTATAGAAGCCCATTACAGGTGGGTAGTTCCTCTTCCATAGTACTCCCATAAGACCCCTTTACCTTATAGGAGTGGTATGGAAGGCTTATGGGAGACTACCCACCTTAAAACTACCCACCTGTAAATGGCTTAGATTTTAACAATGGCTTGAAGCAGTACCCCTAAACCCCTAGCCCCTCAACCCTAAACCCTAAGCCGATCCCGCCCCTCTTTAGGCGAGGGGTGTCGGATTTGAGGTTTCGGACTCCGAGTTTCGGTAAATCCTAGACCAAGGGAAGCTGACCTCGGAGCCCTGCCGCCGAAACCCTGAACCCCTAGGGTTCAGGGTTTAGGGTTTAAACCCCTCAAACCCTAAACCCTACACCCCTAAACCCCACCAACCCCAAACCCAATACCCTAAGTTCTAAACCCTTAGCCCTGAGACCCAAACATGCCAAGTGCAAACTCCGAACCTGCCACCGACTTGATTCTTTAGGCGGAGACTGCAGACCTCGGGCCTTTTCAGAGGCCATTACTACCACCTTTTGGGTTTAAGACTCAGGGGGGCTCTTCAAGGGGTCTGCAGGGGTTTCTATACCCTCTTGTGTAGGGGCCTGAGAGACTTAGCAGAGGGTCTTGGGGTATATTGAAATACAATTCAATCAGAAATCCCGAAAAAATTGCAAAGTATACTCTATATTATGTGAGCAGTGAAGTAGGTGTGGTCTTTGCGTTACTGTTGGTACTTCTAGCTATTTTGCGTCCTATGCTACCTCAGGCCCGAAAGCTTGAAATCTGTCATGCGGCAATATTGCCGCAGCCGTTGCCGTCAAAGCAATTCCTCCGCAGAAGGGCCAGAGAAAGGCTGGAGAGTAATTGTTGTGTTGAGGGTTCAGGGCTTAGGGTGGTCCTGATAGTTAGGACACTTACTTGGAGGTGCATGGGTAGTTTAACTAAGAAGGGTTATAAGTAGGCTAACTGTACTTATAACCCATATTAGGGGACTTATAACTACCCATGAACCTCCAAGTAGGGCTTTGGGGGATACCACAATCCAAGTGCTCCGGTAATGCAAAGAGGGTATGTAATTTGTCTACGGTACTCCGACGATGTGCGTGCATCTTACCCGAGCCACCAAGACTAGGGATCAAGGATTTCGGGTGCAGGTTTAGGGTTGCAGGTTCATGGCCTTTTGAGGAGTTCTTCCTTCCCCTGATCCTACTATTTGACGTCTGCAGTTTTACGGACCCTGTTTGCAAAGAGTTCCTCTTGCTTGTGGTAGGATGGTAGGATAGCATCTATTCCACAGGTCAAAGTCACCTACTCGGCCAGTAAGCTTTCTGTTCGGTAAGTACTTCTTCAGGTCTAAAGATTCCATAGGCACTCCTTCGGGCTCAGGGTTCGTCGTTGAGATCAGAACCAAATGAGCATAACAGTTTCGATGTGTGCTTGAAGCGCTGTCCTCACCCTGAATGACCCCTGAGAAGTTCAAAAGTTGGGATCCCAGAGACTCCACTATCCCCAACTTTCCGGGGCTCACTATAAGCCCTAAGCCATAAGCCACAAGCGGTAATTATTAAAAACACATTAAACCCCGAAACACTGAGCCAATCACCCTAAACCCCTAAACCCCTAAACCCTAAACCCTAAACTCGCCTCGCTCTGCCTGCGTCGTCAGCATAATGTTGTCCGTGGTCTTCGATGGAGGTATCCTGGGTTTTTGTTACGGAATTTAGTTTAAGCTACGACAATAAAGAAACCATAGTATAATGGATCCCTATGATGGTAACTTAAACTAATTCCTTAACACGAGCCCAGTGTCCGGGAGAGCGCAAACTCCAATGTCATCCGGTACTGCTCCTTCAGGGTTGCGAGGCGCTGAACGGTAAACCCTCAACCTCAAGCTTAAAAGCCTAAAGCCTAATTTTAGCCCATATCGTGGGAGTCTCAGGAGCCCTAGATATCCCTGCAAAACTCTTTCAAAACCCCTCTAGAACTCTTATAGATCCCTATGAGACTCTTCAAAAATCCTTATGGCTTCAGCACTGCTGTTGATGGACAAAATCCTGCATTACCCATTATAAGGAATATACCATAACTCCCATAGTTTAGAGTCCTCAGGGTCATGCAGGATTTTGTCCATCAACAGTATGAAACTCTTCTCTTCTAAAATCCCTATGGCTTCAGCCCTAAACCCTAAACCCTTTAGTTCAGCACTGTTGACGACTTCGGTCCGTGAAAGGCTGCTCGAGAAGGCCAGCGTTCACCGCCCATCCGTTCGGAGAGCTTCCGGCGGCAAACCTAAATCCTAAACCCTTAACCCTAAATACCCTTAAAGGGACCCCTATGTAAAGGAACCCTTAGAGGAACCCTTAACTATACTGAACTTAGAGCCCTGGCAATCATTATAATTTTAGCTGTTTCTCAGGGATGATAATAACCAAAAATTTAAAAATTGTTTCTAAGCACCCCTAAGAAACCAAGTGCAGGTCAGCACGTGCACGCCGATCGCACACCTCGTTTAGAGTTCAGAGTTCAGGGTGTAGGCTTCAGGGGTTCGGGGTTAAGAATTTGGGGGGTGTAGGCTTCAGGATTTAGGGTTGAGGGAGGCAAGGGGTGTTTTGAGCTCCAGCACAACATGCAGGTTTCCTTTCTGCTGAAAGTCAAGGCCACAAGGGCCTGTATGAACCAAGCACTTCGACTGTACCTCTTGCATGGGGCGGTGTCATCGCAAGCATGCAGCCGTCAAGCAAGATACCCTTTACGAGCAGCAGCATTTGGGAGTTTCCGAAAATCGGGGACCCTGATATTCCCCTGTTTAGCAGGATCCTTACTATAAGGACCCCAAAATATGATACCCCTAATTTTCGGAAACTCCCATTTGGAGGCTGTTCGAAAGTAAGGCTCTTTGCACGGAGCGCTTACCTGGCCTTGGGGATAAGTTCTCACCTCAAGATGACTCAAGTTTAAGTGCTAAGGTCTGCGGTTTAGGATTTAAGGCTTTGTGCCAATGACCTTTACAATCTATGTGAGCTATGGTACAGTATGTGTTCATGATGTGGTATAAGATCTTGTGCTTGACGGTTTAGGGTTTAGGGTTCAAGGCAATTCAAGCACTGAGGGGTCGCCGCCTTGCAGCCGATCCCGGTGAGGGAGAAACGCTAGGACACAATCTGCAGCGGCAGGAAGCAGAACTCGTCTGCGACTCACAGCCCCCAAACTGCTCTGCGTAGACTAGTCTACAATAGACTATATATAACATCATCAAGATTCATACAAGATATAATGTACTTAACAAAATGTTATATCTAGTATATAGTATAACATTAACGTCGCTGTTCCTAAGCCTTCGCATCCATGCACGATGCCCTTGAGGTGTGCTCTTGCATTCCCAGAACTCCAACATCGCAGCCAAGCTTCTTCTCTGTGGGTTGAAGGGTTTCGGGCGTGGGGCTCATGCGCTTCAGGGCTTAGGTTTTTAGTGCTTGAGGGCTGAAGGATCTAGGAACCCCGAAGCCCCTTGTTGAAGTTGGCTGCACTGCTGCAGCTGCTAGCTGATTGCGGCTGCATACTGAGTAGCAGAAGGAAACCCCATGCGCCTAGGAGATATCTCAGAAAAGAGCAATAGATCACCTTCAAAATGAGATAGTCGAACCCAACAGCGAACCAGTTCAAGGAGATGGGCTTACGTCTTCAGAGACAGCCTGGACGCCATCGGGCGCGGCGTTGAACGCGAATCCCCAAACCTCGAAACCCAATGTAAAGTTTAGGGTTTGAAACCCTTGAGACTTGAACCCTTTACTCGCTTTGCCCTGAAACCCCCAACATCCTGAACCCTAAAGCCCCTAACTCCAAAATCTCCCCAAAACCAAAGCTTGGTTTAGGGTTTAGGGTTTAGGGTGCAAACTTCGAACCCCAGCTCCTTTTGAATCCTAGGTCCTGTAAAACCCTACTTTCCTCGCGCGGTCTTGGCGCAGCAGCAATGTGATGCAGATGTTGGCTGCAGCCCGCATCTCCAACCTTTCGACGAGCGAGTTGCTCTTAATTTTGGGTTCGCTGTAGGGTCTTACAGGCTTTAATATGGGGCCTGAATACGTAATTAGAATAGGGTTTTGGGGCCCATCATACTATTATTCAGGCCCCAATATTGGAGTTTTGTGTGGGTCTTTAGGGTTGCATAGGGTCTGGTATAGGTATCCGCGTAATGGCATAGTTTGAGGCTTCCGGACTAAGAAGATACTATTTCCGATATGCACCCCGCGATATTATGTCGGTTTAGGGTTCAGAAGTATGGCTGGGGTGCAGAGCTTGCTTGAAGGCCTATGTGTTTTAGGTTTAGGACTCTGGTGCATTCAACTTACAGTTTGAGGTTCAGGGTTAAACATGCACAGAGTTGTGAAGGGCAGAAAAGAACACAGCATGTCAATCGAAATGAGCCTGCTCTGACAAGCCGATCTGATGTGCCTGTTAACGAACGGTATATTGTAAAGAAGAATCCAGACTTCCAAATGCCCTCGAAGGAAAATGGCAAGGCTACAGAAAGTCGACACTGCACGAAGCCTGATGTGTGCAAATCCCTCAGCCCACATGCTTACGAAATGCTCTGCACCCACCCCTAAACCCTAAATCCTAAACCCCAAACTCTAAACCCCCAAACCTGAAACCCTGTTCGATGTCTCTCCCAAAGGTGTTCGTCCCCGGCTTCGATCAGAAAAGTCATCGCTCAAAAATTTCGTTCGCCTACGGCTCGGCTCTACCATGCTTTTGCTCCGAAGGAAATCGAGCCCAAAGAGGGTTCCTTTAAAGGGGTCCATAAGGGATACCATAAGGGCTACTATAATGGAGCTACTACAAGGGTTCAGTACATGGGCCTTGATGATTACCAACACTATTTTGGAGTTTCCGAAAATAGGGGACCCTAACATAGTACCCTAAATAGTAGGATCCTTATTATAAGTACCCCAAAACAAGGTACCCCCTAGTTTTCGGAAACTCCCAAATGGCAGCGGGAGTGGTAGTGGAAGTGCTAGCTGCTAGCAGTAGCCGTAGTAGAAGCAGCAGCAGTAGTAGTACTACTAGTAGCAGCAGTAGCAGAAGTAGGAGCAGCAGCAGCAGCAGCTGCTGCTGCTGCTGCTGCACTAATAACAAAATATACCTAGCAGCGGTGCCGTTAGAAAGAATAGCAGGTGACAAGCACAACGCTTTTGCTGAAAAATCCTGTGTGATGAAGACAGTTAATTTAGGGGGCCCATTATACTATAATTACAACAATAAGGAACCCCAAGAATAGTATAGGTAATTATTAAGGCCCCTGTAGCATGAGATGAAGACAGTTAATGCCAAGCCCCTGCCTCCGCAACTCACCGCGATTCCACCTGCGGCACAACGACGACTGCTGCAGCTTGGGTTTAGAGTGCAGGGTGTGGGGTGCTACGGTACCAGCTGATATCCCTAGAATTAGAATCGGGTTTGGGTGCTTGTTCTACAAAAAGTACAGTGAGGAACCCCCAAAATATAGAGGTACTTGTTTGGGCCTCTACATGACAACTTAACCCCATAATCCCAAAATCTCAAATCTTACACCTCTGAAATCTGTTCCAACCCTAATTCCTAAACCTCTAAGCCCGAAACCCTAAACCCCTAAATCCCTAAATCCCAATCCCTAAACCTCCGGGCCCCAAGTTAAGAGGTACACCCCAACGAAACCGATAGCTTCCCACTCCACAAGTCGCCCCAAAACCATAAACTTCCAAGCCCCAAGCAACAAGAACAAAACAAAACCAAAAAAAAAAAAAAAAAAACATGGACCTCCAAGCCGCAAAACCAAACAATGCTGACTATTTTATAAGCCCATGAAATTCCAAGCCCTATACGCCACCCCAAATCCAAGGCATGCATTCTCAGGCCCTCCCCATCGTGCAGTAACGAAAGACAGCCGACATTGCACTGGGGGGGATTTGGGGCTAGAACTTGGGCCTTTAAGGGTTTAGGGTTTAGGGTTTAGGGTTTAGGGTTTAGGGTTTAGGGTTTAGTTTTGGAGTCTCGGGCCTCTTGGGCTTAGGGCTTTCGGATGCAAGGACTCACTCAAATCTTAACCCAAACTCCGCTTCAACGCATGCCCATTCCCTCAGCAGTATACCGCCTGAACCCTAAACCCCACACGCCCTAACCCCAAACCCCTGAAAAGGGGGACCCTTGGGGATATAGACTCTCTCAATAACGTCCTTTTTAAGAGAGCCAGAAGCAGGGTCAAGAAGGGTCCCCTCTTGAAGGGGTCTCCCTAATACTACCTCGGAACCCCTACACCCTTAAATCGGACCTCGGAACCCCCAAACCCCACCCTAAACCCTAAACCCTAAACCCCTAAACCCTAAACCGGAGGCCTCACGAGGAAGCGCGGGAACATGCGCAACCCGTGGAGTCGGCGGATGTGACGCATTCGGGTGAGCTCTGGGCCTGCCAAAGAAAAGGGGTGGGGTTTAGGGTTTAGGGTTCAGGGTTTAGGGTGGGGGTTTGTTGGGGGTGCCTTTGGGGGGGTTTGGGGATTTAGGATTTGGGAGTTTCCGAAAATAGGGGACCCTAACATAGCACCCTAAATAGTAGGATCCTTATAATAAGGAACCCCCAAAATAGGGTACCCTAATTGTCGGCTTTACGGCTTTGGGGTTTCGGGTTGAGGAAGAAGCTTCGGGTTTCCATCCTCCACCTATCCTTGCATGTGTGCATACATGCGGTCGCATATATGACTGCATATGCACACACAGAAAAGCATGCGACTGTGATATGATGCATGCACGTATGTGTATGTGTGCATGTGTGTATATATATATATATATACCTACATATATATATATATATATATATATATATATACATATATATATATACATATATATATATATGTGCATGTATAACATATGTATATATATATGTACATACTGATTGAGTGATTGATTGATTGATTGACTGATTGTGTGTGTGTGTGTGCATGTGTAGATGTGTATGTGTATGTGCAGGCATATACATGTGTATGTACATACATACATGCACCCATGCATCCATGCATCCATGCATCCATGCATCCCGGCATGCATGCATACATACATACATACACGCATACGTACATACATGCATGCATACATGATGTGTGTGAAAAGTAAGCGTGTATATGTACACATATGTAGATGTAGGTATGTATGTATGTATGTACGTATGTACGTATGTACCTATGTATGTATGCATCTATGTATGTATGTATCTACACCAATGTCTCTATGCATCTATGTATCTGCGTATGATTTTCCTGTGGCTGTGCGTGTATATAAATTTGCATATGTGACAGTATATGTGTATCTGTATGTGTATGTGTATGTATATGTGTACGTGTGTAGGTACGTGTGTGTATACATATTTATATATATATATATATATATGCATGTGTGTGCATAGGTTTTTGCATATGTGTATGTAGTTATATGCACATGTGAGTAGGCTTTCTTGCGTGCATGCACACAAGACAAGAGGTACACATGCATGTGCTCGAAGGGTCACCGTATAAGATCGCATGCATGCAAACAATGGAGAGCGCATGCGCTGGATGCAGGCTTGTGGATACATACGCTGGCATTCATGCACGTCTGAGACTAAGAACGCATCAACATGCGTGCATGCATGCATGCACTCCTGAAGCATGAACCTGCTGTAGTCAAGGGAGAGGGTGAGAAGCCAGGCACACAGGCAAACAGGCAGAGAGACCACCGACCAGACAGGCAGAGAGAGAGAGAGAGAAAGAAGAATGAGAGCGAGACAGAAAGACACAACAGAGACAACGAGACGGATGTAACGACAGATCGCTTGCATAGGAGCGACAGTGCGAAGACTGAGAGCGCGCGACCACGAGAGCACACAGTGCGGCACAACTGCTTGAGCTCTGGAACAAACCTGTAAAACACATCAGATCAGGCTGTACGACCTAGACACCACATCGTCACTACACTCGTGCAATTGTGTTTGCCTGTGAAACTCATTGTAGCGAAATCAACAAGCGAACTCCGAAACACCCCACAATCATCACGACCATCATCCTCAGCAGCAGCAGCCACATCTTGACCACCTTCAGCCACCAAAAACACCCTCAATTCCAAAACCCCAAGGCCCTAAACCGTAAATCCTAAAACCCCTAAACCCCTAAACCCCAAAATCCTAAACCCCTAAACCTAAACCCCTAAATCCTAAACCCCTAAACCCAAGAACCTAGAACGGCGCCCGGCGCCTCGCAGCAAGAATTGGGCCTCCGTCGAGAGGCTGCTTCCCTGGATCAGGGCCTGGGCCAAGGAGGGACCCTTAATGGGGACCCCTACCCTAGAATGGGCTATATAATGGGTATATAATGGCTACATTAAGGGTATATACCTAGGGGCCCTTATTAAGGATGGATGATAAGCCCCAAGGATGGATGATTAAAGGGTTACTATACAGAAGGGACTGCCATGGGGCCTGGGTTTTTGCACACCCACTGTTTTGCACTTTTTGCACTTGTTCGATACTTGTCGTTCAGGGTTGCTTTGCATGCTTCGGAAGGCCCTCTGGACCCGTGGAAGTCCTGCAAGCCGTAAGTACACTAGCACAGGCCTTACACCCTGCACCCTAAACCTTCGGCAAAACCACAAAACCACAAAAAACAAAAAAACAAAAAAACAAAACAAACCAATAAAACCAAAAAACAAAACAAGCCAAAAAAAACAAAAAAAACAAAGATTTCCGCACTAGTCGGAATCCTTCAGACTAGTGCGGAAATCTTTGGTTGTGTTGGTTTGTTTGTTTTTTTTGGTTTTTTTGGTTTCCGCCACAGCTGACGTGCCCGGACAACCTTCCGCTGTGGCTGCTCTTTTGGGTGTAGGGTCTACTTAAACAAGACTACTGTCTCATGTATCTTATGTTATGCTCATAAGCAGTCCGACTGCTTATGATTCTACGCAGGCTGTCTGCTTATAAGCAATCCGGCTGCTTATAAGCAGGCTGTCTGCCTATAAACAATCCGGCTGCTTATAAGCAGGCCTGTCCGCTCAAAAGCAGTCCGGTTGCCTACAAGCAGGCCTTCTGCCCTGCTTCTGCTTATATGCAATATCCTGTTGTTTATAGGCACTCGGGAGCCGTATGAGTAGCTATTCTAACCCCACCCACGCGTGCGCCAAATATCAAACAAGACGGAGAACACGAGAACCCGCACCAATTGCACAAACAGTACCGTAAATTTGATATCCTGACCTGCTGCATGTTTGATGGAAGAACATGCCAAGCTTATCTAGCACACCACACGACCTGGATTTGTTTGTATTTCCGGTTTCTGTTGAGTATGCAATTCATTATTTGCGGGGGGGTGCGTATGAACGCCCTTCCCTGTGTATGAACACAGACTTGTTTAGAAGAAGTGAGCATCTTATAGAATCACTGTGTGAGCGAACAATTCAAGGGTCCAAGCACCATTTAAACCATAGGGATATATCAAGGGGAATCGCGAGGATGGAAGGCATCCAGAGGGCCTCGACCATAAGAATCGTGGAAGCCTTATCGTTTGAACACATGTCGGGCTTGTATACTATGTCATATACTGCCGCACCATGTCATAGAATAGATGCCAGGTGCTCTAGAAAGTCCGTTCTGCAGCTGGAGGTTACCTGTTTATGCACACAAATATTGCAGACATACGTGTAGATAAGTTATCAGACCATCTTCTATCCGTTTATCTGCCTATCCATGTATCTATCCATCTATCTATTTGTCTACCCATCCATCTGTACATTCATATACATGCTGGTCTCAGCATGGATGGTGTCACCGACCTCTTAACCTGTCAACTTACACATATTGTAAAACCCTGATACAATCTATGCTGGATATGATATGGCACCGCACAATAGACGAAGCACGCGTGTATAGTGTATATGTTTTCGCCGATTTGCAGAAATACCGCCTTAGCCTTGCCACGGTCAGATTAGCTGTGCATTGTTGTGGGGTGCGGCTGTACTGAGATATGGCAATAAAGATTGAACTGAGTACTCCCACGCCACAGCCTTCAACGAGTCCAGACATATAGGGGAATCAGAACACGGAAAGTCGGCTGTGCACCCGAGAGTACCGGGTGTTAAAGTTGTAGAATAAGCTGGAACGATATGTGAAGTAATTGCCCATGTTTAATATTCCCTTTCATTTCGCTTACAAGCGCCCGTGTATCTGCCGTGCACTTCGTTTTGTGGCAGTAGAGCGTACCATGGTAGTGCAAACAGAGAAGCAGTGCATGCATAGGCTTGTGAGTGTATGTATTCCTGTATGAGTAAGCGAAGGCATACCCGTGTTTCTGTGTGCATGGTTAGTTACAGCGCCATAAAACCAGATGTGTATAATATATGTGTGCCCCTACTGGCAGAAATATATACAGTTTTGCCATAGTCATTGAGGTTGCGTATTGTTCTGAGACGCCACATAAGCAAGTCGTACTGACATACTGAAATACTACAATACAGACTAAACTGCGTAGTACTCGCGCAAACATACAGACCTTCACCACCGATTCAGGACATCAGGGGATCAGAGCACGGCAAGTCGGCTCTGCACCTTAGATTACCGGGTGCTAACGTGGTAGGTTAAGTTGTTAAAATAAGTTAGAATGATACATGAGGCAACTACTGAAATGATTCTTTCATTTCGCTTGGAAGCGGCTTAGTGGATTGTGGTGGTAGAGCATTCCACGATAATGCAAATTTATAAAAACACATGTACGGGCTTTTGAGTTTATGCTTGGGTGCATGCGTATCTGCAAGAATAAATGTGCCTGCGCATTCACGTATATATACATGCACATACGTAATGCATAATGTTACACCTTTATGAACAGTAGCATGGGCAAATGCATGCGTGCATAACACAATTCTATATGAGACCAAGAAATATAGTACTCAAAAAACCCAGGCCCCATGGCAGGCCGCTCTCTCACTATAAGGGTCCCACAAGGGCTCCTTTAAAGGGATCTATAGGAGTGCCTTTAAGGGGTTCCTTGAAGGGATCTATATAGGGTTTTAGGGTTTAGGGTTGATGATATAAATCGCTAGGATACCCAGTAACCTAAGAGCAAAAAGGCCTCTCTTTTTGGTATTGGGTAGCTTTATAAGGAACCTGGGACTACAATAAAGGGAATAAGGATACTACTGGGCATCCTAGGATGACAAGTTCTGTGGAGCCTCGGATTTGTTTTTGTCGCTCCTTTTTCTGCAGCAACTACGAAGGTCACATCGGGACCTCAGGTTTAGGGTTTAGGGTTGGGTGGATGATAAGTTTTGTCGGAAACTTAGGTTTGTCAGAAACGGGCTGTAGGGCTTTGGGCTTTTGGTCTCGGCTCAGGCTTTAGGGTTTAGGGCTCAGGGTTTACATCATGACCACGATTATAAATTTTGGCGATGTAGAACATGCCCGGAGTCGCACCGACAACAGTGAGCGGAGCAGTGAGAGCAGTGAGGCGTGTCCAAATACGAAAGCAGAAGACGCAACACCACATGGATAGCAAATAAAATCTGACATAAGCCCTCGCCCTAAACCCCAAACCTCAAATCCTAGACCTAAACGAGGAGGCCTTCAGCAACGACAAGTTGATGAAAAAAACAGGAGGAACTAGGAACAGTCGACGACATGATAGTGATAGCAAAATCTCATTACTGGACGGTTATAGACATGTGGGCAATGACAAGTACTAGAGAAGACAACAGACAGGTGTGTCGGGTTCAGGTCCGTTAAAAGGGACTAGGGACTGCCGTGTCGGACTACCAATAAATGAAGGAACACTGACGAGCTCTTAGAAATACTGCCAAGGCAAGCATGCAGCAGACATGGAGAAAAAGCAACACTGAAGCCAATAGGCCATTAAGTCTCCGCAAAACCGCAGCCCGTGGAGAGAATAGCGAAAAAACAGCGAGATGAATTGCAAAGACATGCAAATCATTTCAATGGTTAATAAAGCATCACCGCAAGGATTGATTCGCAATGACCAGCATGAAGGTATAACATCTAATGAGGAAATGTAGCATTCAGCTCATGGTAAACAAGCAAGGTGGATGCGAGTCCTAGAACTTGAACCAAGAGATGTTCACGCCCTGAACTAAGGCTTCTACCTAAATCCTGATACGGGCCCCTCTTAAATGAACTAACAAAATAATTCTTTAAAGTCCGTGGGAACGGATCAGTGCCGGCCAGTTACGCAGAAGATCAGGATCACAAGGAAAACCTGCTCCAGTCTTCGCTGTGCACTGAGTAGTGAGCATTTTTGTTTGCATCTGCTGAATCTGTTTAGGGTGTTTTGTTTTTTAACTCCTTTTTCCGCCCGCTCATATCCCGACCGGAAGGCTACAGAAGCCTGGGTTTAGGCTCTAGGCTTTAGGGTCAGCCATCCATAGAAATCTGCTGCTGCTCCTACCGAAGCTTCTACCCTCGTTCGCTGCCATTGGCTGCCTCTGACACTCTACGAGATCCTCAGAGACTCCAATATCCCTTAATTAAGGAATATTCCTTAAGTTATGGTAGGATCCCTTATATGATTTAAGGTCTATTCCTCAATGAAGGGATATTGGAGTCTCGAGCTCCTTCGCTTACGGCTTATGGTTTGGAGCGTACTTGGAGGGTCGGGGGACTTAGTAAGTAGACTTATAAGTACCCTAAACGGGACCCTAATTGGGGTTGTGGTACTTATAAGTCCCTAAAGTAACCAGTTACTAAGTCCCCCGACCCTCCTGTAGGGTCTGCAATGGTCTGAGAGCCCAGTTGCACAACTACCACTCAACTGCCGAAAGGAATCCTCGCTTCTTAGCTGCCTTCGCTGCACGTGCTACTACGAGTAAGGCTACTTAGAGGATCATGGGACTTAGCACGTAGGTTATAATTGGGGTTATAAGTCCCCTGAGTGGGGTTATCCTAATTATAATTTACTTATAACCTTACTTACCATGAGCCTTCAAGTATGTCACGTGAAGAGTTCCAGGCCGCAGCAGGGTTAAGGCTTCGGGGTCTCTTGACGTACAGCTCAGAGACTCCAACATCCCTTAATTAAGGAATACCTAGGGTCCCTTTAAGGGATCTACAAGGGATCTATAGGGCTTAGGGTTTAGGGGACTCCAATATCCCTTACTTAAGGAGTATTCCTTAAATTATGGTAGGATCCCTTGTATGATTTGCGGTATATTCCTTAATTGAGGGATATTGGAGTCTCTGGGAGTACTGCACTTAGTTAGGGCCTGACATTGACAACTGTATTTCCTTTCAATCCTGAAGCCCTCAACTCATCAACTTCGCAAATCCTTAACCCAAGCCCTAAACAAGAGCTTCTCATAACCCTAAACCCTAAACCCCAAACACTAAACCCTAAACCCTAACCCTTTGTCCCAATATGCCAGGAGGGCTCAAACTCGATCTGGGCTTCGGGGTTTGGGGGCTCCCTTCTGCAAGGGTGGCAGGCGACGCCTCCACGGCAAGATCAGCGAGGGCATAAGAGCTGCCTAACCAAGTGCCACGTTTAAGGCATCACGAACCCCAGCTGTAGGCCTGACACCTGAACTCTAAACCCTAAACCTACATTTTTACCCTGAACCGAAAACCTTAAACCTCAAACACTAAGCCACGTCAACCGTAGTCCACAATATCTCTGGCGGATCTCCCAAACTGAGATCCACTTGTAATCTCCACATCGATGACCCCGGTACCCTGTTGCCTTATGCTTGGGTTTAGACACGGGCGAAGCTTCTCCGAACTAAACATGGGTGGTTGTCAGAATGATGGTCCCTTTTTGGATGCCTGATGTAGTACGTCACCTATGATTTAGGGTACGTTTAGGATCTAGGGTTTAGGATCTAGGGTGATCTAGGGTTCAGGGTTTAGGATATGTAGGGCCCAGTTTTCAAGATGTACGGTTAGGATTTAGAGTTTTAGCTTTAGGAGCAGCTTCGGAACATAGGGCTGTGTAGCTGAGTTTTGGACTTTGGGATTGTGGATTCCGGGGCGGCTCGGAAGTCAAGCTCTAGATAGTCAAGCTCAGACCCTTGTGTAGATCTACGTCCAAAGCCCTAAGGTCTGGCTGATACTCTGTTTATGTCAGCTTCGAGAAACCGTATGAAGAAGGGTTTCAATACTGGTATCAACACTCATCAACCTTGCTACGGAGCCTGTGAACCCTGCAAACCCCAAACCCTAACATGAACCCTAAACCCTAAACCCTAACATGAACCCTAAACCCTAAACCCCGATATAAACTTCTTAGACTGTTACCCTACAACGAACCTCCTAAGCCGCTAATATTACGAACCTTACGCCATAAACCAGGATGCATCCACCGTGATTTCTCCAAAGGAGCGGCAGGCTCAAGGTCCTCGGCAGTCATGGCAGTACTTTCAGGGAGACCATAAGGGATCCCCTAAAGGAACCCTTAAAAGAACCCTTAAAAGGAACCCTTAAACGGAGCCCTTAAAAGGAACCCTCGGGTCGAACCCCTACTAGAGGAGCCCTTGAAAAGGAACCCTTAAACGGAACCCTGGTTACCATGTGTTGGCGCTACTTGGAGGTTCATGGGTAGTTATAAAGTCCCCTCATATGGGTCATAAGGATAGTTACCCTACGTACGGTTGATGATATAAATCCTGCATTACCCAAAATAAAGAATATACCACAATTCCCATAGTTTAGGGTCCTTAAGGTAATGCAGGATTTTTATCATCAACAGTACTTATAACTACCCATGGAGCCCCCAAGTAGCGCCACTAGAACCTACTAGCCACTGCCACTGGCAGCAGCTGGACCGGCAGTGGCAGTCGTCGCTGCGGTCGTCGTCGTGGCTTCGTCGTCGACATCATGGTAGTTGTGGTACGGTTGATGATATAAATCCTGCATTACCTTAAGGACCCTAAACTATGGGAATTGTGGTATATTCCTTATTATGGGTAATGCAGGATTTAGATCATCAACCGTATTTTGGGGGGGGGTCCTTATTGTAACTATAGTATAATGTTCCCCAAGGCCCTATTCTAAGTAGTGAGGCTCACCGAAGGAACACCCCACTCTAATCTGCATGCAGGGTGCCAAAACACAATCTAAACCGAAAACCCTAAACCATAAGCCCTAAACCCTAAACCCTAAACCCGAAGCCCTACACCCTAAACCCTAAACCACCAGCCCTAACCGCCTCAGGAACACCCAGCACTCTGATCTGCAGGCCCGCTGAACCCTAAACCCTAAACCCTAAATTCGAAACCCGTACACCGCTCCACTAAAGACCCCCTGTTTATACTACGTAGACTACAAGACTACTCATTAAAAACAGGCCGCAGCTTCCAACTGCTATTTTTAGATTGGCGCATGGCTTTCGACAAAGTCGATCATGAGTCCATGATGATAGCCCTAGAACGCCTCGGAGTACACCGCCAGTATGTGGAAATAATAACAGACCTCTACACAGATCAGATCTTCCACACAAAGGGTAGATTAGGAGAAACTAAGCAGGCTACACCGCACACAGGCATTCGCCAAGGATGCCCTCTCAGCCCCTACTTGTTCATCATGGTAATGACAGTCCTATTTCATGATGTTGATAAGCGCTTACTCCTACACGGCGTTCCTACTAATACCTGGTCCATAGGTAAGCCAATCTACGACTTAGAGTATGCGGATGATACGCTTCTAATGGGAGTCACCACAGAACAGACTAACGAATTCCTCAAAGCATTACAGGTAGAAGCTACGCTCTACGGTATGCTTCTCAACCCCACGAAAACAGAACACCTCCCCCACCCTCAGGCTACACTGCAAACACTTCAGTTTGCAAATGGAGAACTAGTCCCGCAAACGGATACCTCGAAGTATTTAGGAACTAAAGTAACATGGGACGCACCTACCAAAACGGCTATAGAAGATCGTAAAACCAAGGGCCACACCGCATACATGAAGTTACAACAGCTGTGGCGCAGTAAACTCAATACCCGCGCCAAAGTCAAAATATTCCACTCTACTATTGTTCCCTCCCTAATCTATAGTCCAGACACGCTCACCCTCGAACTTAGGCACTTCAAAACAATCGACGGATGGTACCATAGATACCTGCGCCGCTGTATAGGGGTTAAAGCATCCTACTTCTCGCATGTCAGTAACAGAAGAGTATGGGTTTTCGCAGGCCGACCTAAGCTTCCCTCCCAAATCCTTCTCGAACAACAAATCCAACAGCTCTGTAAAATCCTGGCTACACCGCCCGACAACCCCCTTCACCACGTAGTCTTTTCCCCCGGATATAAGGATAGAATTAAGTTTACCAAGTCTGCCGCAGAGGACACCCCCAGCGATACTGGTTAGAGCAAGTTGCGGAATGGACTCTACCGGTATTCCGAGCCCACCTGGACCACACCGCCCAAGACAGTAGAAGAGACTTACTTGGACTAAAACAGTATTTACAGTTACACCCCGAATATAGCCTACAATTGGAGACTGCGCCGACGCGCTCGCCTGCTTTGTTCAAAAGACACGTTACCCTTGGATGCGCATGGCAACCGTAAAAATTCGAAACCCTAAACCCTAAACCCCTAAATCCTAAACCCATAAACCCCTAAACCCTAAACCCTAAACCCTGAACCCTAAACCCTAAACTCTGCAGGCATGGTGCCAAAACACAATCCGGATCAGGTCGAAGACCCATGGCTCTCGGACGGTGAAGCCCAAGAGTGGTATGGAGATGCAGTCCTTGGTTTAGGGTTTTGGGTTTGGTGTTTAAGGTTTGGGTTTTGAGTTTAGGGCTTACGGTTTAGGGTTTTGGGGGTTTGGTGTTTAAGGTTTAGGGTTTTGAGTTTGGGGTTTTGGGTTTGGGGGGTTTGGGGTTTAGGGTTTAGGAATTGGGGTTTAGGGTCTAGGGTTTTGGTGCTTGACATAGTGGCCCTACCAATTCGAGCAGTCTCTCGAAGGGCTCCTGACCAAAATGATCGTATTGCACACCCCAAACCCGAATCTAATTACTAGGGCCCCTATACTAGGGTCACGATAAAGCAACTGCAGCATGAGGAAGCTCTTTAAAAACAACTCAATAAAGTTCTAAAAACACTAGGATCCCGCAGAGGTATCCCCACCTTCAAGAAGCCCCTCAGATCTTTCCGCCCCAGGCGCGAAGAGGATCAGAGATCCGGCTGCCACGGACCAAAGGAACTTCATGTCTGGGGGGCACCAGCCCTTTTTGTGCGGTTGGGGCGTGGATGGCACCAGATTCGTGGAGTGCGTCCGCGTCGGCCCGGTCTTCTGGAGCCTATAGGAGCCCTGTTCCCGCACCCTCTTCTCCCATCCATGGTGTAGCCTGTAAAGGGCTCATGTTTTATGGGTTTAGGGTTTAGGGTTTATGGGTTTAGGGTTTAGGGTTGATGGGTTTGTGGGTTTAGGGTTTAGGGTTGATGGGTTTGTGGGTTTAGGGTTTATGGGTTTATGGGTTTAGGGTTTAGGGTTTAGGGTTTATGGGTTTGGGTTTAGGGTTTTGTGTTTAGGGTTCTCCCATCCGTGATGCAGCCTGTAAAGGCCTTCCATCCCATCCGTGGAACCATCGTCGCTAGGAGTCACCTGGCAGTTTTCCGGAAATAGGGGACCCTGAAATCGTACCCTAAATAGTCGGATCCCTCTTGTAAGGACCCCATCAAAATCAGGTACCCTTAATTTTCGGAAACTCCTAAACCCTAAACCCTTTATAGAAACCTTATAGATCCCTTTAAAGGAACCCTTAAGAGGATCTCTTTCAAGGTACCCCTAACTCTCGGACACTCCTAAACCCTAAACCCTTTATAGAAACCTTGTAGATCAGATCCCTTCAAAAGGACCCCATCAAAATCAGGTACCCTTAATTTCGGAAACTCCCAAATCGTACCCCTAATTTTAGGACACTCCCACCTGACGACTTGGGGAGTTGGAGACCTTGGAGACCGAGAGCGTCGAGTTCGGTGGGAGCGACGGCTGCTTGGAGACCTGGGTGGACCGTTTAAAGCCTTTGAAAACTTTAGGGTTTAGGGTGTAGGGTTTAGGGTTTAGGGGTTTAGGGGTTTAGGGGTTAGGGTTTAGGGCTTAGGGTTTTAGTAAATAATATCCTCTTAAGCCCAACAAGGGAAAATATAAAATGTCCCAAAGCTCTACCTAGAGACCCCCGAGTTTTGCGGCTTCAGTGTCTTGGGATTGAGGGTCGGCGTCGGCGGGTCCGGAAAGGGGCCGCGTTCCGGAACCATGTGCGGGATTTCCGCCGAGTTCGATATGGACGCCTTCCTAGGTGGGGCTTTTAAAGCCTTTGAAAAATATTAGTAAATAAGATCCTCTTAAGCCCAATAAGGGAAAATATTAAAAATGTCCCAAAGCCCTGGCTAGCTTCCTGGATGGCCTTCTGATCTGCACGGGGTTTGAGAACTTGCGATCCACGCACTGCAGGTCCTGTGATGCCAGCAGGCCGCAAATTAACCTGGGCTCTTGTTCAGGAAACTAACTTAAGCTACCATAGTAGGGATCTACAGTACATAAGATGGTTTACTTATAGTGGTAACTTAAAGTAAAATCCTTAACAAGAGGGTTTAGGGTTTAGGGTTTAGGAAGAACCCAGTAACTGCTCGATCTGGGACATCACGAGCCTCAGGCCTCCATCATCTTGGTCAGCCATGGCTCCTCGATTCGATGGGTCAAACCTGCCCAAAAACCCACAAGATCCGAGACATGAACTAAAAGCCCTAAACCCTTACAGTAACAGTAGACCTTATGGTAACCTTTCTAGAAATGCTACCCCCTAAACCCTAAACCCTTAACCATCCTTAACATGATTGATGGTCGAGGGTTGAGCTTTTAGGGCATCGAGGAAATCGCACCCGACCTGAGCCCAGGCGATCGGATGGCCAGGTGAGCAAGAAGCGGCTGAGGATTTGGGAGTTTCCGAGAATTAGGGTTACCTTAATTTGGCGTCCTTATGATAAGGATCCTACAATTTCGGCTGCTTTTTTAGGGTCCCCCTACTTTCGGAAACTCCCATTTTGGGATTCGGGCTTGTAGGGCTTAGGGTTAGAGGGCTGTCAAATTGGCTGTCAAAGCTTTAGAGGTTTTTGCGATTCTTTGCCAGGCTCGTTCACTACTGTTGATGGACAAAATCCTGCATTACCCATTATAAGGACTATACCATAGTTCCCATAGTTTAGAGTCCTTAGGGTCATGTAGGATTTTGTCCATCAACAGTACGACCTGCTCGATGTGCTGTGGATTGAGGGCTAGAGTCCAGGGCGCAAAACTGTTGTGGCAGTGGGTCCCATGGTTCGACTACCTCGAAGCATCTGGGTTTAGGATTGAGGTCTTAAGGTTGAAATGTTAAGGACCTTGCTCAACGACTGCTCCGCCTGGATTGAACACCAACGTCCTGAGCTCTGATCAAGTTGTGACTAAGGCCCTACCACCCCTCAAACCACCACCCTGAAATCCCGAAATCAGCAACCTTAATCGACCAAAACTCGACGCCCAAATGCCACCCTTATAGCCCGATTTATGCGGCGGGTGCTGTTTCGAACAGGAAAAAACTTAGCGGGTTTTGGGGTGTGGGAGCATGCTGGGCAAGTTCGCGCCTCATGACCGAGGATGTAGTTTGGAAGTTTAAGGTTAAGGGTTTAGTGTAGGCGCCTGAAGTCATCCTGCCTTTTACATTTTTTTAGCTGTTGAGCACTAGTTTCGTTCTCACGATGAAGGCCCCTGTTTCTGTGACAGTCAGGCGTCGGAGGTGGAGGGAACCTCTAATATAGGGGCCTCAATCATCAGAATAGGGTTTGGGGGCCCATTATACTAAAACCATAATAAGGAACCCCCAAAATCCCCTATATGACACGCAAACTCCCATGTCCCCGGAAGGATTGCTTTTCGCTGTTAAATCCGACCGTTGCTTAGCCCTGAAGCCCTTGGAGGCCCTAGACAATCATACAAGCACCCTATACAAACCCTGTATCAACCCTAAACCCTAAGCCCCTAAACCCTTAACCCTAAACACTAAACCCCTAAACCCCTAAACCCCTAAGCCCTAAACCCTAAACCCCTAAACCCCTAAACCCCTAAACCCTAAACCCTAAACCCCTAAACCCTAAACCCTCAACCCTAAACCCTAAACCCCTAAACCCTTAACCCTAACCTTATCTGCTACCTTGTAAGAAACCCCGGACTTCGAACTCTAGCTGACTTCAGGAGAGGGCTTTGACACTACTTGGAGGATCACGGGACATACTGCTGATGATAAAAATCCTGCATTACCTTAAGGACTCTACACTATGGGAATTATGGTATATTCCTTATTCTGGGTCATGCAGGATTTATATCATCAACCGTAGTAAGTCAGGTTATAAAGTACCGTAAGTGGGGTTATAAGTGGCTATCCGTATAGTTACCTTGTTCATAGCCCCAGTTACTACGTCCCATGATCCTTTAAGTACCTTAACCCCAAGTAACCTACCTTTTTAAGGACTTATATAAAGAAGTTGTATTAGGGAACTTAGGGTTTAGGGCTTAGGGTTTAGGGTTTAGGGCTTAGGGTTTAGGGTTTGGGGTTTAGGTTAGGGCCTACTCTTGAAGCTCGGCCTTTTGTCCTGGGAGTCGCTGGACACAGGCTGCTGCAGGGCAGGCGGCGCGGACGGCGTAGGGTTTAGGGTTCGGGGCTTAGGGTCAGGGACCCCTAAAAGCCTAAACCTCTAAACCTCTAAACCCTGAACCCATAAACCCCCAAACCCTAAACCTTAAACCCTAAATCCCAAGGAGCCGGGGGACTTTCGCCAACCACCCTGCAACCTGCCTGCGGAGTGGACCAGTTCGGGGCACACCCTCGGTCCGATTCTCCTAATGCAAGGGCCGGAATCTCAACATCGAGGCCTGAATAACTAAACTAGGGTTGCTTTAATGGTGGCCTTTACAGGGGTCTATAAAGGCTCTTAAAAAAAGGCAAACAAGGCCTTAGTCATTGGACTTGGCTACTGGGTACAATTACAAATATATGGGTGGTTGTCAAAATTATGGTCCCTTTTGGGTATCCTAAATATTCGGTGCCGTATTATAGTAAGGACCCAAAAAGGTACCCTAATTTTGACAACCACCCAATGTGGACGATAAGCGGAAGCTATTGCCACTCAGGTGTTTCGGAGCTGGGGGAGGTCTGGGTTCAGGGTTGATACTGTTGATGATAACAATCCTGCATTACTTGAAGGGCCCGAAACTCTGGGAATTATGGCATATTCCTTATAATGGGTCATGCAGGATTTATATCATCAACCGTATGGGGTTGAACTGGGTTTAGCCGAGTTTATGTCCTAATGCAAGGGCCGGAATCTCAATACAGAGGCCTGAAGAACTAACTAGGGTTCCTTTCACGGGTTGGATTGGGTTTAGGGTTCAGGACTTCTGCGGGCCTAGGACTTACGTCTTCGGGTTTAGGACCAAAGCGCGGTGTAGAGCTGATTTTCGGGCTTCTCTGGAAGGCACGGCGAACCCACAAATCCCAGTACCAAACTTATGTAGCTAGGGACCCCGAAACAGTAACATGCAGCCAAAGCAGCCCTCTATCTTTTTTGGTGCATTCCTTCTTTATATCAAAAGGGGAAAAGGAGGGACCCTTGATGGGAACCCCTACCCTATAATGGGCTACATAATGGATTTAAAATAGCTCTATTAAGGGTATATACCTAGGGGTCCGTATTAAGGGTCCCTCCTTGTACCCTTGGATTTTTGGTGCATTCCTTCTTTCTGACCCCCATGAAAAGAATTTAACCCAAGAGCTCCTTCAAAGGATTCTCTCTCGCCAGGACAGCCTAAACCTTAAACCCTAAACCCTGCACCCACAACCCCTAAACCCTAAACCCATAAACCCCTAAACCCAAACCTTGAACCCTAAACCCTGCACCCCAAAACCCCCAACCCCTACGCCCCCCAAGCACTAACTAAACGCCTCCACCCACTCACGAGGGAGCCCTAATTTTAGTGCTTACAAGTTTTAGGGTTTAGGGTTTAGGGGGGGTTTATGGGTTTATGGGTTTTGGGGTGCAGGGTTTAGGGTTTAGGGTAATTGCAAGTTCATGAGGTTCGTGGGGTTTCTATAACAAGTAGGGTTTCACGGGCAGTTCGACGTACAAGTGTGATTCGCATGATGATAAGCATATGCATTAGAGATGCAAGCAACGAGTGATTGTAGCCTGCCTACGATGTCGCTTGGTTATTGAAGCGATGTCCACCAGTTTCCAACGCGTTGAAGCGCAGGCATGCACCCCAAACCCTCATCGTTAAACCTGCAACGGCATGGAGGCCCCCGGAGGTTCGATATGGACCTGTCCTGAACCCTTGACCCTGGAATAATAGACCCTAAACCCTGAACCTTGGAATAATAAGCCCTAAACCGATCTGTAGGTCCCCGCTTCGGCCCTTGCAGATATGTCCCTGGACAGTGTGAGGCTAAGCCTGAGCATAAAGTCGGTCAGGGCGACTTGCTGACTTCAGCCGCACTTGCTGAAAGGATGAGGACTTTGCATTTTTTTCGGAGCCAAATACTTCTAGCTAACAACCGCACCTCCAAATGAACCCGCATTCTCAGCCCCTAAACCCCTAAACCCCTAAACCCCTAAACCCTCTAAACCCCTAAACCCTAAACCCCTAAACCTTGAGCCCTCCCGGGTTTGGAGCAAAGAGTCTGGAGGCTCGCGCGCAAGGTTGACAAAAGGGTTTAGGGTTTAGGGTATCCAACCAGACCCCTGGAAGGAATCCGAATGTTATACTAGGCTCCTGAATGGCCCTTTAATAACGGTACCCTTTTTCCCGCTGTTCGCTTTTGATCAGGGAACCCAAAAAGAAAAATTGGCAGTACTACTGAGGAACCTAGTATAAGTGGAGCTATAAAACTCTATATACATGTATGTGCATTTACGCATGTATGTATGCATGTATCCATGTCTGCATGTATGCATGCATGTATGCACGTATGGATGCATGTATGTATGCATGCATGCATGGCTATCTGTCTGTCTCTGTGTCTCTGTCTCTCTGTCTCTCCGCCTCTCTGTCTGGCTGTCTGTCTGTCAGTCTGTATGTATGCATGGATGTGTGTGTGTGTGTGTGTATGTGTATGTGTATGCGTGTACGTATGTGTTTATATACATATATGCATATATATATATATATGCATATATATATATGCGCATGACGGGTTTTGGGAGCCGAAAGGAAACCCTGAGCCCAGAACCTCAAACTTACTAAACCCTGAATGCTGATGAAAATTTTCACTTTGGTGGAGCCAGCAGCCCAAAGCCAATTATGGGCACGGACAGTCAGACCTTCACAGCGTCAGCGCCGAGAGCAAAAAAACGGATGTCCCCGCCACGGCCACACAGGCACGCGCTGACATCACGGCTCGCGCCCACGTCCTGCTCGGCCTCTCTCCCTGGCTGGACATTGGAAGTTCCAGGGTTTAAGGATGTCAGATTGAGGGTATAAGTGCAAGTCTTTAAGACTGTGTGGCTGGGCGGTTTGGGATAAGGCCCATTTAGAGCATACACCTTGGGGACGTCGCGAGGACAGATTCAAGGAAGACTGCAGATGGTTTCGGTTTCGGCTTGTGATATAGGGGCCTTAATAAATAGAATATGGCTTTGGTGTATATTA